TAGGTGGCCGATGGGGACTCGTTGGTCGCAGGTCAGATAACGGGGACCGTCTACTGCAACTTTGCACAGACCACAACCTGTTTCTGGCTAGCACTAACTTTCGGCACAGTCATCGCCGATGTGCCACCTGGCGTCCTCCCTCTGCATCTCAAGCCTGGACTCAGATTGATCACATCGCGATCAGCTACCGCTGGCGTGGTTGTGTACAAGACTGCCGCTCCTTTTGGAGTACCTATCTGGACTCTGACCATGCCTTGGTCTGCGCCAATCTTGCCTTACTTTTCAGTGGACAACGAAGTGAACGCCATCAACGGATTGATGTTAGCAAGCTGGTTGCAACCTCTGTTGCAAGTAAGTATCGAACCGAGCTAGCCTCTAGGCTAGCTACCACTCCACCGAAAAGTATAGATGAGCATTGGTTGCAATTGCATGACGCCATGAAAATGGCGGGAACAGTCAGTTGTGGGTTTGCGAAACGTCCCGCTTTTAAGCACTGGGTTTCTTCTGGTTCCTTACAACTCATTGAAGCCCGTCGGTCTACTCCGGGTGACCGTGAGTTTGACCATAAACGAAGGATGTTACGTAAGGAAATCGGGCAAAGCTTGCGTAAGGACCGAGAAGCCTGGTGGTCGATGCGTGCTAATGAGCTGGAAGCAGCAGCTGCATCTGGTAACTACCGGAAGCTCTTCCAACTCATCCGAGCCACTGGCAGCAAGAAGTCTGGTGTGAGTGAAACAATCTGCGAGGATGATGGGATGCCAATCACTAACATCCATCGACGTCTTGGACGATGGGCAGAATTTTTCGAAGGGCAGTTCAACTGGCCTGCTGCTCCGGCAACATCGGTCAGACTGTCCTGCCCTCCATGGCCGGTGACGACTGATCCACCAAATGAGGCGGAAGTCCGCAAGGAACTCCAACTCTTGAAGCGTTACAAATCACCTGGCCCAGATGACTTACCTCCGGCTCTTTTTAAAGATGGTGGTGACTTTTTGACTAAGGAATTGACGACGTTGTTTACAAAGGTTTGGGAACTAGAGAGTGTGCCAACGTCATGGAATGAGTCGATAGTTGTCCCTATCTTTAAAAAGGGTTCACGTCGTTCTTGTAACAACTATCGGGGGATAAGTTTACTTCCGATTGCGTCCAAGCTATTGGCTTCCGTCATTCTTCGTAGGTTGTTCAAAACCCGAGAAAGATTGACTCGCGAGGAGCAGGCTGGGTTTCGTTCTGGTCGAGGATGTATTGATCATATCTTCACCCTCCGCCAAATGTTAGAACACCGCCATACTTTTCAAAGGCCAACAATCGTAGTGTTTCTTGACATCAGGGCTGCCTTCGATTCGTTGGATAGGACTGTTCTCTGGGATTGTCTATTGAAGAAGGGTGTGCCTGAGAAGTTTATTAACATCCTAAAAGCCCTATATATAGACACCTCAGGCAGAGTGAGGGCATACAACCACCTCTCTCCATTGTTCCATTCGAGCAGTGGGGTTAGGCAGGGTTGCCCAATCTCACCATTCCTCTTCAACTTTGCCATCGATGACATTCTGGAAACAGCTCTGATGAATGTAAGTAATGGTGGTGTGGATCTGTTGCCTGGAGAAAGACTTCTCGACCTTGAGTATGCGGACGATATTGTCTTACTGTGCGATAATGCCCAAGGCATGCAATCCGCACTTAATCAGTTGGCAATCAGTGTCCGTAGGTATGGTATGTGCTTTGCACCTTCGAAGTGCAAAGTACTTCTACAAGACTGGCAGGATTCTAATCCTGTACTCACCCTGGATGGTGAGCAGATAGACGTAGTTGAGAAGTTCGTGTATCTGGGTAGCTGCATAAGTGCTGGTGCTGACGTGAGTGATGAGATCAATGCACGTATAGTGAAAGCCAGAGCGGCTTATGCCAATCTGGGCCACCTTTGGCGCCTTCGTGATGTTAGTCTGGCTGTAAAAGGTCGGATCTACAACGCGTCGGTGAGAGCAGTTTTGCTCTATGCTTGTGAAACCTGGCCTCTCCGAGTTGAGGACGTTAGACGACTCTCTGTGTTCGATCATCGCTGTCTCCGAAGGATTGCTGACATTCAGTGGCAACACCATGTCAGTAATGCAGAGGTTCGGCATCGTGTGTTCGGGCACAGAGATGATAACTCAATTGGTGTCACCATCTTGAAACACCGACTTCGGTGGCTTGGACATGTTCTCCGAATGTCGTCCCAGAGAATTCCACGTCGTGCATTATTTGCCGACTCTGGGACTGGTTGGAAGAAGCGGAGAGGTGGTCAGTGCATGACATGGTGTCGTGGCATGAAAGAAAGCTGCAAAGGACTGGCTTGTGTTGGTCCTTGACGACTCCCTGGCTGGGGTCCGAGAGATGGTGCTACACAGTGGCTAGAGACGTTATCAGATATGGCTCAGAATAGAAGCCAGTGGCGATCCTGCTGTAACCTTCTTTTACTTTCTTCATAAAAAGTGGTTGTGTCTCCTTACCTGAAAGATTTCTTCTGATTGTACCTCTTCGTCATTACTCTCTTTTTCTTTTGCGTTCCTTAGTTTTTTTTCTCTTTCTACTTCTCTTCGAATTCCCATTGTTTTGTGTGGCGCATATATATTGGCGCTCTCTTGTACCAATATTTATGTGTTCAAATAAATAAATAAATAAATAATGCGTCTGCGCCATTGCCAATGATTTTCACCCATGTCACCCAAAGTCTTTAGCCATCGGTTACAATAATCACATGGACCCCAACTAAGTAACCTTAACTTAGTCCAGTAGTTAATGATTTCATGGTCTAAAGCCACATCTTGCTTTTTCCACTCCTGGTTTCCTCTCAACCTATTTTTACACCAATCAACATTGCCTGCTGATGTATTCAGCAGTTAGGCATGTGTAATACATATCCCAACCACTTCAGTCAACAGAGACTCACCACCTCGTCAACCGGATTCCTATCTTATTCTGGTACCATTTACCTAACTTCAGCACTGCTAATTAGGTGGTCTCAGAATGCACAAGTGGTGCTTCGAAGACGCCTGTGATCGAGTACTAGTAGCCAACGAATATCCTCTATTCTTGAAAGCTGTTTTATATGCATAAGATAAAATAGAGTACAGTTAAACAGTGAACTCGTCCTTTGGTTTTCAGTTGACTATGTTGACTACACTAGCATAGGTTGATAAACACCAGCTAAGCAGTTTGAATCCATGCCGAGATTTGGTCAGGCATCAGGATTGATGAGACTCCAATATAAGTGAAGCAGTCGAAGCACTCAATCAGCTCACTCTGTCACTAATCTTGGACATGATGCAGACTGGTTCTAAGACAATATTTTGCATTTGGAGGGAGAGAATCCCATCCGAAACACTTGCACTGTTGCTTAAGGTGGCCAGGAGACTGCCAAACTTTGTTTTTGGGTTTAATTTACATGGCGTGGGCATATTTCCGAAATGAGAGAATGAAGGCTCTTATCGACTTGTTGTGTTCAACGTATTTGACCTACAGACATGGATACAACGCAAACCACCGTAAAGAAGAAATACAAAGAGCAAAGAAAACGAAGGTTGTTATCAAACAGTAAAATGTGTCAGGTGGATGAGGGTGGTCGACAGGAAACCCTGGACCTTGGTCTCGCGCTATTCAAGATTAGTCAGCAAGATATCCATGTGATCTCAAGAAGACTTGTATTTTGTACAAAATTTGAACCTCCACCCGGCTTCACAGTTTGAGGCGTTACCGTTAAGCTATTCGGGCTACGACTGAACTAAGATATTTACAACTGGTTGATTACTGGATAGTGACTAACATTATGTATATCTAGTCCTTATTAGTGCTGATAAAATCCCATTGGTCAAGTTTCAATATGGTTACTAATCCAGGTGACTCAAAATCGCGTGCAGATTGTTGAGAGGTTAATAATTGAAGGTAATCGACGGGGAACCCTAGACCTGAGTTTCGTGCTGCTTCGGTTTTACTAACAAGGTGTACCTGTAATCGTGAGATTAATGTTGCTAACTGTGCAGTGATCAGTCAGTTGTATTTAAAAAGTGAAATACGGTACAAAAAACAAAAGAAAAGATTTTACAGTTCAACAGTAATGGCACAAAATATAGTCAAACAAGTTACAATATAATTAAATCCCGCTATTCCTTCACATACACCTTCCTACTTCGTTCTTCCAAACAATATTCTGTTTTTCATTATCATTCCTACTACTTTATTTCGACTTTCGCTCTTATCACGTTTTATTTTCATCTGGTCATGCTAATACAGTGTGGTAACTTGGACTGGGGAACATTTGTTCCCGACTTTATGCTGATTATAATTATTGACTGGTAGTACTACACAAACCCACATCCCTCCCAGATGATTGTGTGTTAATTTTGAACTACTAGCATTGCAGGAGGTCCACTTATCGACTTAGAATACGCAGATGATATAGTCCTGTTTGGCGAAGACGCTGATAAAATGCAGTCTTTTGGTAGCACTGAGCAACAGTGCCAGAATGTTTGGAATGCGCTTCTTCCCCTCTAAATGCAAGTTATTGCTCCAGGACTGGATTGCGTCAACACCTGAACTAAGGATAGGGAGTGAAGTAGTCGAACGCGCCGACAACTTCACTTATCTTGGAAGTTTGATCAGCCCTAATGGGTTAGTATTTGTTGAAATTTGTGCACGGATTCGGAAAGCTCGTTTGACTTTTGCCAACTTACGTCATCTATAGCGGAGGCGAGATATCCATCTTTCAATTTGGGGACGGGTATAGTGTGCGGCAGTTCGTTCTGTTTTGCTTCACGGCTGCGAAACGTGGCCATTAAGAATACAAGGTACTCGTAGGCTACTAGTATTTGACTACAGATGTCTTAGAAATATTGCTGACATCTGCTGGGATCATCGGGTAAGTAATAGTGAGGTTAAAAGCAGGGTATTACGGAATGATGGTAGATCGGTTGATGAGGTTGTGAATTTTCATCGACTGAGATGGATGGGTCACGTGTTGCGTATGCCTGAACACCAATTACCACGACGGGTAATTTTGACTGGTGTTATGGATGGTTGGAAGATAGTTAAGAGCGGCCAGACTAATACGTGGCATCAGTGCTTGAAGTCACTGACTTCTAATCTGAGCCATGTTGGTAGATGCAAAATACTTAGTTAGGGTCCGCGCGACTATTTGTAACCAATGGTTCGAGACTGACGTGGCTGAGAATTGATCACAATGGCGTAAGTGTATACACTTCCTGTCTTCTAAACTAAGAGATTAAAATCGCTTCATTTCTTTCTTCTACGTACTAAATCTTTCTTCCTGTACAGTATCCTTATATGCAATCTTTCTTTATATATTACCACCATTGAATTAACAACTTCTATGAATTGTGTGTTGATCTTGCTGTGCTAATGCAGTATAGCAACTTGAACCGATGCACATATGTGCCTGATCCTACGTTGTAGCTGAATGAGTTTATAAGTTGAATACCAGGCGTACCGACTAGTCCATATTCACCAAAATGTCCAACTGTTACGTGAGATCGCACTGTTTACAATATTTTTCTTGTATTTCGTTTTAAAGAGTTTTAGAAAATCCGATATGCTTAAAATGTTTCACTAAACGTTAATATTATTTAGATAATTATCAGCTGTGCACCAGTGCATTTTATTACTAAGAAATATAAAAAGACATGTTAAAGAGATTAACAAGGTACGGATAAATCTTTCAGTAGTATGATAATCGCAATAATTAGCTTGTTTGTACAAAGTCTATTTATTCAACCAAGAACTATCAATCATTTTGCTGGACTGCATACATCATCAATTACCATGTAGGTTATGTCGATTTCAAAACTAGTTGAATTTTTCTCTATTATTATTGTATAGGGCAGAACCTTTAAAAAGAAGAAAAGAGTCGGCCTAGCTGATAGCCAAATTCAAGTAACTAGAAAAGTTAGAAGAATTGAAAAAGAAATAAGACGCCTTAATCGTCTCGATCGAATATTAAGACCAATTGAAGAAATTGAAGGAGATCGTCAATTAAAGAAAGAAATAAAGTAAGCTATTTTAGAAATTCAGGTTTCCAGTTTCCCTTAGTACATTAAAAGAGTTGTTCAACATCAATATCATATTATTACTAGTGCTTAAAAAATTATTAGTCAAATTGTAAAACGTACTCATCTGCTTAATGTGGAAAATGTACTGACTGGTTTACACTGGAGTTGTCTCTTACATATTAGGACAACCCAATTGACCTAGGACATTTGCTCCATGAAGTTTTATAATCCTAGGCAGGTCAGTTGAAAGAGTAGTAAGAACAAGAGCAGTAAACCCAAGGTCTAGTAACGGGATCGTACTGTTAGTTTCACTAGGGTGTAGCTGTATTAATGTTTCGCACAAATCTCCAGTCTTACCATAAACTAAAGTCCTAGTTAAGAAAGCCTGTTTCCTATTTAGCACGGTGTTCGGACGTGGTTTCAGGAAACCAGGAAAACCGTTTGCCCTAGCGGTGCGAGGTGATAAAGGGACGTGAGAAGGGCTAGTCGTTGAGAAAAGAGAGGACTTTAGAATCTCGCGCCATCGATGTGTGCTGCGTCTCCGAAACGCGCATACAGGATCCAAGTAGCGTCATTCATTTGACCTCACCATGCCAAAATAAAGAACCGACTCGATTTACGCTTCGTGTATCTGGAAGCCCTGATTCTGCTTCCCGTGGCCTCGCCGGCGTAGGTATAGCATTGAGTCCTAGGGCAGAACTAGCTCTCTTAGAGTGGATCCCAGTAGACAGTCGTTTGTGCGCTGTCCGACTGAACGGAACAGTAAGAATCCGGAAAGATAGGGACACTCGTCGTTGCCTCTTCGTCGTCTCTGCCTATTCTCCCACTGACTGCAGCTCAGATGATGTAAAAGATGAGTTTTACAGAAAGCTTTCGGACCTTCTCCGAAAAGCTAGGCGCTCGGATGTAGTAATAGTGGCCGGTGACTTTAATGCTCAAGTAGGTAAACTAAGCGATAGGGAAAGACACCTAGGTGGATCTTATGGTGTCGTGGCTCAAAGAACAGATAATGGCGACCGTCTGTTGCAGCTATGCTCAGATAACCGCCTGTTCCTTGCAAATACTAACTTTAAGCATAAGGAAAAACATCTTTTAACATGGCGACCCCCTAATTCGTCCCAACGTTGGACCCAAATAGATCACATCGCTATCAGCCACCGATGGAGGGGCTCGATAGAAGACTGTCGCTCATTCTGGAGCACATGCCTAGATTCAGATCATGCTCTAGTGCGAGCGCGTATTTGCTTGCGTCTTACTGGACGTAGGAAAGACGCTGCAAGGAAACCTCTTAGGGCCTACTTAATGATAGTCAAGCTAAGAGTATATTTCAGGAACAACTAGGAAAACAGTTAGGCAGCCATGTATGTGATGCCCACCCCGATGCAGCATGGAATGATATCCGAAAAGCTGTGGAAACAGCAGTGATATCTGCTAGTAAGGTAAACCAGAAGGTTAGGGAGCAACACTGGATCTCAGCAGCATCTATCGCACTGATAGATGCTCGGAAACTCATTCCACCTGGCTCTGAACATAATGAAGAGCGGAGTCAGCTTAAGCGCAAGCTGACAAGAAGTCTACGCAATGATCGCGAACAGTGGTGGGTAGCGAAAGCAAGAGAGATGGAAAAGGCAGCGGCAATAGGTAATAGCAGACAATTGTTCAGACTCGTTAAGGAAACCGGAATTAGGAACCCGACCGTTAGCGAAACAATCTCAGAGAAAGATGGACATAATCCAGGAGATTGGATCGATGGGCAGAACACTTTAGGGATCAGTTCAACTGGCCTTCAGCCACACTTCGGTTTCCCACGATCTCCAGTCAACCTGAATGGCAAGTTAATGTAGGTCCTCCGTCCCTTTACGAAGTTGAAAAAGCCATAGGAAATCTGAAACGAGGGAGAGCAGCAGGCCCTGACAGGTTTACTCCTGAGATTTTTAAGGATGGTGGTCCAGTATTAGCAATGAGATTAACTGAGGTCTTAGGTAGAATTTGGGAACTGGACGTAATCCCATCTGACTGGTCTCAATCACTGATTGTGCCAGTCTATAAGAAAGGACAAAAGTCCTCTTGTGACAATCACAGAGGAATCAGTTTGACTAATATAGTGTCTAAAATATTAGCTTCAATAATACTTCGACGCCTAATCAAAGCTCGTGAAGAGCAGATTAGAGAAAACCAGGCCGGTTTTCGACCTGGACGTGGTTGTATAGATCAGATATTCACACTACGTCAGGTTCTAGAACACAGACACACATTCAGACGCCCCACAATGGTAGTATTTCTCGACCTTAAGGCGGCATTCGACTCTGTTGATCGTGAGGTTCTATGGCAGTGTTTGTCACTGAAAGGAGTACCAAAGAAGTACATTAACCTTATAAAGGCTCTCTACTCGAACACAACTGGTAGAGTGAGAGCTTATGGCGAACTGTCATCAGAATTGATTACCTCAAGTGGTGTTCGTCAGGGCTGTCCACTCTCCCCATTCTTGTTCAACTTTGTGGTCGACGTACTTTTAGAGATAACACTCTCCTCATCTAAATTTCCAGGGGTTGAACTTCTACCGGGAGGTTCACTTGTTGACTTAGAATATGCTGATGACATAGTTTTATTTGGTGAAGACGCTGACAAAATGCAGAGTCTTCTGACCACTCTAAGCAACAATGCAAGCATGTTCGGGATGCGATTCTCCCCCTCGAAATGCAAAATGTTGCTTCAGGATTGGGTTACATCGACACCCGAACTAGTGATAGGGAGTGAAGTAGTTGAGTGTGTCGACCGCTTCACTTATCTTGGAAGTCTCATCAGCCCTTGTGGTTTGGTGTGTGACGAAATCTCAGCACGGATACAGAAGGCTCGACTAGCTTTTGCCAACTTGCGTCATTTATGGCGTAGGCGAGATATCCGTCTATCAACCAAAGGACGTGTTTACTGCGCAGCAGTTCGTTCCGTCCTACTTTATGGCAGTGAAACATGGCCGGTAAGAGTAGAGGATATTCGTAGGTTACTAGTATTTGATCATAGGTGTCTTCGAAACATTGCTCGTATATCATGGGACCATCGAGTAAGTAACACAGTTGTTAGGAAACGGGTACTAGGTAAGGATGGCAAATCAATTGATGAAGTAGTGAAACTTCATCAGTTGAGATGGCTGGGACACGTGTTACGTATGCCCAAACACCGACGTGCGATGTTCAGTGGTATAGGAGTAGGTTGGAAGAAAGCTAGAGGCGGCCAAACAAAAACATGGCACAAGTCCATGAAGTCACTGACAAGTGGACTGAGTCATGTTGGTAGGTGTAGACTACCTGGTTGGGGACCGCGAGATGATAGCAACCGATGGTTAGAGACCCTGAATGACATGGCTCAAAATCGTTTGCAATGGCGCAGGTGCATCCACTCTCTGTGTTCTCCCAAATTCTAATCTTCTGAATTCTTCGTGTCCCTTTTTTCTTTCTTTCCAAGTTTATTTCACTAGATTATACTCCTTGAATAACATCTTCAAGCCCTAATGTTTCTGATTACTGCTTATACTCCTACCACCTCTACCACTACGGGATTTGAATCGACAATTTTATCTGTGTGATGTGGCAACTCGGAGTGATGTACGTACGTACGAAGTTCTATGTTTTTACTGACCGGCTGAGCTTGTGTGAAAGGAGCATCGCTACAGATGGTGGTGGTCTGCGGGAAACACCTTTTTGCTGTCACACCCTACTATAGTTAGCCATACGATTTCCCCCTCAAACCTTGAGTCGCTGATTTTAGTCTTACCGTTCTCCAGTCGACGTGCCTGGCATGGTAGAACGTACAGGAACATATGTTCTAGCCAATGTAGCTCAGTTGGGTTATCATGATAGGCAAGCCCGACCACCGCGTCACGGTAGCAGCTATGGTCGGGAGAAAAGAATAAGAAGGCTCACTATCTAGACTAAGATGAAGGCACAGTTCAGCAACGTTGTGAACAATACTGAGTCTCTAACGATTGGTCGGCCAGACCTTAAACAGATAGCCTGCGTCTACTGATATGGCTCAAACCAAAATTCAATGATAATATATTTTTGTAATATTCTAATGGGTAGAAAAACTAGATTTTCTAACATTTCGTGACTCAGTGTAAGCCAGTTCTTTAGAGAATAAATTATTTGTAACAATCTACCCAATGCTCAATTTATTCTAAATTATAAAGTTAAACCTTGGTAATGATACCTACAAAAGTTAATGGTTTCATAGACTGACGCTATACCTTGGTTTGGTCGCTCTTAGCTTTCTTCCAAAATACTTGTACACCAGACAACATTGAGATAGATAGTGGTTACTTAATAGTTTAATTGATGAATCAATTAAAGCAAGACCACCATGAAAAACCTGAAAGCAATGGACCAATATATCCTGAAATCGAGTCCCGCTGGCAGGATCGTAGACGCGCACTGTTGAGGAGTCCCAGTGCTTCCAGGTTTTCCATGGTGGTCTTGGTTTAGTTGACTCATGAATTTAACTATTAAATTACTATAATATTCACAAAACCTCTTTCAGATAGTGGTTAGTTAATATTCTGAATACTATATGTGATTATTTGAAGATTTCAAGGTGACAATCGCCAATAAGTTAGTAGTTAAAGCCATCGCATTTTTGAATCTTCTTTCACATAGTTCAGTTTGAGCAACTAAACAATATTACTAGTCCACATACACTCATGAACAATGTAGCTCAAAGCTAAGGTACATATACTTGTTGTATTAATCTGATCATAGCAACGTTTAGATTCAAGATGTATGTAGAAAATCCAAAGTATTTTTACACTTGTAACTTAGTCTAAAGATTTTCCGTTGTACATACATCTATGTTATTGTAGTCATCACTGTTGTTTTCTTCTCTTTTGTAATTCCTTCAGATTACGTCAACGTCCATCAATAGACATTAGTGAAACGGAATTAGATGAACGAATAGGTATTTGGAAGAATTGGACACGTTATCAAAGAAATGTAGCACATAATGAAATGATCATGTATAATTTAGCAATTGCTGCTCAACAGAATGCTTTAAAATGGTTATATAAAACATCTCCCGATTTATACGAAGCGGCTATTCAACCTTGTTCTGAATTAATTCAATCATCAGAATTATCGAATGATGATAATTTAGGAGTAGTAAAAAAAGAAAATGAAATGAATTATTTAACATTAATAGGTCCATATATGACTGCACCAAAATTACACGGGGAATTTATTGACTCGACTGAAGAATATGAACCACCAGATGGTGAACAAATTGATACAACAATTCAATTAACTTATGAATTTGAAATTGAACCACAATTATTAGCTCAACCAAAGAAGAAAAAGTTTATGTTTACAAAAAAATGAAATGTTCAATTCTTTTCTTCTCTTTTTTTTTGTGCTGATAAACAAACATAGATAAATACAAATTATTTATGACTACAATGTTACATTTTGTTCGGAACTTAAAGTTAATTAGTTAGAATGAGTAACACAACAACACTTCACTATTTCATTTGAAAAGTGATCGCATCTAAAATAAGAAAAAAAACAAAGATGAAAGTAGTTGTATTAAGACGATGGTTAATATGGGGGAGTATGTTGGGGGAAAAAAAGTTAGGAGTGGTCAAAGCAAAACATGGCATCAGTCTATGAATTCATTGACAATTGAACCGAGACATGTTCAGAAGTGTAGAGTACTTGGCTCAAGTTCACAAGATTATCGTAACTCGTGGTTAGAGAGACTTTGAATGACATGGCGCAAAGTCATTCACAACGGTGTAAAGATGCATCTATTCTTTGTTTTCCCTCAGATTCTAAGTTTTTAAATTCCTCATAATTTTTTCTTATTTCATTAATTATTTTCTTGAATCGTATCTTCGATACTTAATCCTCTCCTATTACCATTACTACTGCTACTTCGCATACTAAGGGATTTATCCTGACAGTTTCATCGTATTGCAATGAAATATGGCTGTTCAAACTGATGAGTACATGTGCTAGGTTCGACACTGCGTATGACTGATTTTAAGACGAACCAATCTTGATTAGTTTGTCGGTAGAAAACATTAGCATCCACAGTCCAGTGTAGCCAGCCTTGCGTATAATTTCAGTAATCGATACATACAGGGGAAACTGACTTTTCCCAGGTTTTCCTTTCCAAAAGTGATCGGGATGAATAATTGTCATGAATTCAGAGACATCAAAATACTATGATATATAGAACAAAATGCGGAGATTTTTGAACGCTTTTCATAAATTACTTAGCATAAACTGTTTTCTGATAAAAATCGGACATGGATACCGAAAGCTTCGTTACATAGATACTTGCTGGGATATTCGACCTATATGTGTGTAAGGTTTTAAGAAATAATAATAATAAATATTCGCCGAAATTACTTACTCCGACTAATGGTCTTGACATATGTAGGATGAGAAAATTATTTGGGACAATAAATGCAAACATTTAACTAGCTCGCATATGTTAGGACTACCGAGTGAGCAATACTGGGGTTAGACCCAGAATGTTAATTGAAGATGGCAAATCATTTGATGAGATAGTGAAACTTCATCGACTGAGGCGGTTAGTGCATGGATTGTGTATACACAAATATCGCTTATCTTGGTGCGCGATACTGGTTAGTGTCGGAGTAAATTGAAAGTTAAATGTAACTAGACTAAAACTTGACATAAGTTCACCAAGTCATTCACTTTTAATCTGAGCCAAGTTATTAGGTGCAGACTACCTGATTGGAGTTCGTATGATTTTCCCAAACAGTGGTCGGAGACATTGGATAACATAATTCAGAATCGGCGTTGACCTATTGATTTTTATTAGATTATATTGTCTATGGTTGATGTTTTCTACTAACATTGATATTGATTACTATTACTTGGGGTTTTGTCTTGCGACGAATTGAACTGATGCACATATATTCCATGTTTTTTATTGCTTAGAACTGACTGACTACCGAAACACACACAGGATCTCTAAGTGGAGTTTTACGACAGCGTATTATTAATTGTTCTTTGAATCTTGTCCCATATAGAGTTGTAAAGCAACAAGCTAAATAAAGACATTTGTCTAGTAGAACTCCTAAACTTTCAATAGTTCTTCGCCTAAGATTAGTGTTTAAATCATCTTTCAGAAAAAATTTAGAAAGTCCAAAAAGGAAGAATATATCTGACTGCCTCCAAATACCCTCGTACGACCGAGGGTATGGAGTCAGATCTCATACGGTCACGGATATAAAGCCACCGTCAGGAAAGTCCTACTTACTGCCCTCTCGAGGTGCGAGTGTTGCTTGCGAAAATGAGAGGACGAAAAGTGAATATCCGGTGCTTTAACTGGATTGGTGAATATGGAGGATCTACCTAGAAGCAGTTGAAAAACACTGATTTCAAACCAATCGTGCACATTCGTTTCAGGATCTTGAATGAACAAATGGCGCATGAACCAATTATTGATTACCGTTTACCATGGGATTGAATCTCCTAAAGTTGCTCCACTTTCTTGTGGATCCAGACCGTTAGGTCAAAGGCTTGGGGTGTGGTCATCCGGTCAGCATCATATCACAATTGATTGATCACTGGGTGGTGATCAATGTCATGCGTATCTAGTCCTGATTAGTGCAGATCGAATGCTATCGACCATGTTATAATGTGGCCATCAGTCTAGGTGACTCGACACTGCGTGCACTATGTATTGAGATTAGATGGTGGTTGGAGGTAGTCAACATGAAACCATGGTCCCAGGTTTCGTGCTACTTGACACTCATCAGCAAGGTGTACCTGTAATCTTGAGGGAACTGGTGCTCCCTGGCGGACTCGATCCCGTGTCACCCAGATTCACAGTCAGAGACGTGACCACTGAGCTATCCGGCCGCAACTGACCTCCTGTAGGACTGAGATGTAATCAGTCAGTAACCATAGCCTACACACAAATCAAGTGACTTGTGTAGCGCATTTGTATTCGGTGTCCCGCCCCCTTTATCTTATCAATATTTATGTATTGAAATAAAATAAATAGAGAAACAACTCACTTTATTTGATTGATTGAAATAATTTCTCAATTTGTCAAACCATATAACAACATATTGTTTATTATTATTATTTAAATTAATCCATTCATTATAATCTATATATTGTGTTAATGTATATGCAACAGAGATATCAGCAATTGTTGGATAATTTGTACCAGTTAAATAGTATGATTTATAATAAGTTAAATAATTTTCAACCATTTCTCTATAAATTGAATATTGTTTTGAATCAATTTTATGATTGAATGATAATAGTTTTATACTCCATGACAACCATTGTTTAATTTTACAATATTGTAACAGCTACATATATATGTAAATATGTGATATATTAAAAAAAAGAAAGAACAATATACAATATATTAAATACATGATAAATTGAATAGATAATTGATTACATACACACACACACACATTGATGTCACTCAATCTTCCGAAGGTACCTGAAAAGGAAATTGGATTAGAGGTGGTCTTAGTGACCTGAGAGTGTGACCACAGTTCCAAAGGGACAACTCCTTGAGGTCGGTCACACACGGTCTTTTTATGAGTAACTTTTGTGTTAGCTCCGTAATTGCTGAGACCTTACCACTGGAGACGGATATTTGTGGGATAAGGCGAAGTGTGCATTTTAAGGGTCGACCGTTTTCAACCCCACCCCTTCTTGAGGGAAGGCAGCATCGCTGTTATGCTGGTTGTCTGGAGGAAACACCTTACTGCTGCTACACCTCTGTACAGTCAGCAGTACGACTTCGCCTTCGGACCTTGGGTTTGTTGCTTTTAGTACTACCGCTCTTCAACCGACATGTCTGACATGGTAGGACCTTGAGGAACGGTTGTTCTAGCCAGCATAGTTCGGCTGGTTCATCACGATAGGCGAGCCCGACCGCCATGCCAAGGTGGCAACAACGGTCGGGACATACACTGATGGCTAATATTTGGTTTCCTTTTTATAAGGAACAAGATACATGATATTACAGCACAGAAACGCAGAGGTACATTATTATACTAAAGATGAACGGACAGATATCTCTTGATTTGATTTGATTAATGGAGTTTGGTGTGTGTTACTGATGTCGATAGATATAAGTAGTATGTATCATTAACCGAAAGTGAAATGTCTGGTGGCAGAAGATTGAAGAAAAGAGAACGAGAATAGAGAATGACTGATGTGGAAACGAAGAGACAATGAAATCTGAGACGATTGATTGACATTTTGCAAATGAAGTATTTACTATATGGTTCTCAGATTTCAATAAAATGTTCTATAGCTTAGTATTCCAATACATTCGATTGCCCGCATTTGTGTTCTCGTTGACTACAGGAGTATAATACGATCGGTCGTTGAGCGTAGACAAATAACCACAGTCTACAGACTACTAAATGTGTGATTTCTTTTCCTGTCGTTGATCATTTCTACTCTGGAATCACTGAGATTGACTGTTTGTAATTGTATTGAAAAAAGTATTATCTAGTGTTAATTTAATTCTCTATTCTGGGGTCCTTAGTCCTAGTTCTGATAAAACGAAAGTTTATCAACTAGCTACTAACTGTAAAAAAAGTGATCACACAAGCTAGAAAAGACATAGAAAATTTTTTAACATTTTTAGTCATTAAAATACTTGGGGGTTTCCTTGTACAATACCGAAATGTTTGTTAAACTATCTAAAGGTAGTATGTATCATTACCAAGGTTTGATATGATAATTTCGAATAAATTGAGCATTGGGTAGATTGTTATACATAAATAATATGTTTGCAATATCCCAATAACTAGAAAATTAGATTTTCTGACGTTTCGTGACTTAGTGTAAGTCACTTCTTCAGTTGTATTATTTAAACTTGGATTAATTTTAATTTGGCTATTTATTCTCTGAAGAAGCGACTTACACTAAGTCACGAAACGTCCGAAAATCTAATTTTCTATTCATTGGGATCTTAAAAATATATTATTTATTTATATCTAAAGGTAGATATGAATGAAGAACATATGGAACTCAAAACTGTTTTTTACTCAATATCAAAGTCATAATCTTCAATGAAAACGTACAGACAGTTCTACTGTACGCAGTTGAAACTTCGAGAACTACAACAATCATCAAGAAGGTACAAGTATTTATGAATAGTTGTTAACACAAGATACTCAATATCCATTGGCCGGATACCATCAGTAAAAGCCTGCTGTGGGAGAGAACAAACCAGCTTCCATTTGAAGGGGAAATTAGGAAAAGATGTTGGAAGTGGATAGGATATACATTACGGAAATAACCAAACTGCATCATGAGGCAAGCCCTAACTTGGAATCCTGAAGGGAAGCGGAACAGAGGAAGACCATAGAACACACTACGTCGAGAATTGGAAGCAGACATGAAAAGGATGAATAACAGCAACTGGAAAGAGCTGGGAAGGATGCCCAGGACATTGTTGGATAGAGAGTGCTGGTAGGCGGTCTATGCTCCTGAACGAGGAGTAACAGGAGCAAGAAAGATATAAATAACCTCCTCTTTCCAATGTCATTTTCAGTTGTATCCACATTCCTTACATCTCAATGATGAAATATCAGAAGACAAACGCCTGATCTATGATTGAAACTAATTATTTATATAGAATAAATACCATTGTTTATATACACATTTATAAAACAATATAAAATTACGATGAAAAACTGATTCAACGGTTTATGCTGATTGGGTTTAATAACAAAATAGGATTGTCTACAATAAGATTGTTTCGATAATGCTGCAGGATACATCCTAAACTGGATTGAGAAAATGTTTACCTTACTGACAAAAGAATTATGATATTGATTTCTACTCCACCCACTTCCAATCACAAGTATAAAGTGATGTATTTGGTTATAAGGCACAAATTTTTTTCCGTGTAAAAGATACTACTGATAATGCTGTCCCAATAAAATGCATGAGTCTGTGACACATTTGTTGTAAAACTGAATATTTTTGATCATTAGGTTACGGTTTTAAAGAACTAGTTGACATTAGCCTGTACAGAAATATGCCTCAACGTTCACAAGGTGAAGAGTAAGATTCTAAAATACAATACACTGAACAACGACCAAATCACATTTGATGGAGAAGCTCTGGGAGAGGTGTACACTTTTACGTATCTGAATAGTATCATTGATAAACAGTAAGGATCTGATGCAGATGAGAACGTATGGACTGCCAAAGCAAGGACAAAATTTCTACAATTCTAGAACATTTTGAGATAATAACAACTATCTGTCAGCCAACGGCAAAGTCAAAATTTTCAATACAAATGTCAAGACAATTCTAAATAGTTTTCCATTGTACGGAGCTGAAATTTGGAGAACTACCACAACCATCATCAAAAAGGTACAGGTATTTATAAACGACTATCCATGCAAGATACTTCAGATTCATTGGCCGGATACCGTCAGCAACAGCCTACCGTCACAGGGAACAAACCAGCTAACAGTTGAAGAGGAAATCAAGAAAAGATATTCATTGAGGAAATCATCGAACTGCAACACGAGACAAGTTATAATTCAGTATCGTCATAGCAAAAGGAATAGAGGGAAACCAACGAACACATTGCACTGAGAATTGGAGGCCGATATCAAAGTAATAAATAGGATTTGGGAACGACTGGAAAGGAGAACCAAGAACAGAATTGGTTGTAGATTGGTGGTCAACATCCTATACTCTCTACAAGTAGTAATAGACATAAGTAAGCGCAGTAAGAAAATGCTAGCTAACTGAAATCCTGGTAAAATATTACCGACTATCTAAATAGAGGCGGTATGTGTTAAAATTTCAGATCCAGAAAAAAATTACAGACAATCAATAAGCAAAAATTCAATTGTGGAAAATAACAATAAGAAAACACATTACTTGATCGCCTCCTTTTAATTCATTGGTTAGAATACTGTCAATTTTCGCTTCAAGATCAAATAGATTCGATGGTATTAATGATGAATTTTCTTGTATATTAAGATAATGACATAAAGCATTGAAAAGTATTTCACCAAGTGTCATTGAAGAATCATTTGTATTGATTTGTTTAATATCTTTTAGATTGTTCATAACTTCATTTAATCCTTCTAATTCTATATTTAATTCATATAACTAAAGAATAAGACAATAAATAAATGTAAGTTATACTTTTCCTATGATATAACTACGTCAGATTGATTTGATAAAAGGTAGTTAATATGAGATGGGTTTTTTGTGGAGATTTTAGAAAATTCACAGATTAAAATCATGAGTCAATTGAAACTAGACCACCATGGAAAAACCTGGAAGCACCGAACGGCCCTTTCGTCCTATTGTGGGACTCCTCAACAGTGCGCATCCACGACCTCGCCCCCTGCGAGATTCGAACCCAGGACCTACTGGTTTCGCGCGCGAGCACTTAACCACTAGACCACTGAGCTGGCATCCAACGGTGTTAATGTCTAACTTCAACAAGGTAGTTAAACATAGAAGTGAATTTAGAAACACAGAAATTCCAGTTTACAAGCTAGTAGTTGATAGTTAATTGTTAACGGTCCAAAATACTTATAATACACGGTAGGATCTATAGTGTACAAAGGTACAATGATATGGAGGGCTAATCAGTAGTAGCCTAATGAAAAGGTAAATCGGTGGCAATCAGAAGTGACCTAAAGGCCAAGTGCATTTCATTGGCTAGGAAATGGATCAATTTCCTAAAGATTAGAGTGGTCTATATATACGAATGGTTATTTGAGCATTTTATTCGGTAGTCCAATACGCTTCCTCGCTTAATCCTGTGTTCTTGTTCAAGTAATCAGTTGGGGGGGGGTTAACGCATAGTATACCATGTATCAGTATCTGATTTTGGACACCGCCCGTCACAACATAAAATACTTACTGATGTTGGGGGAAGATTTATAGCTCATGTGGATGATTTTCATGGAATATTGTTCTCTGAGCTGGTTGGTTTGGTCGTGAAGCTTCAGGTAGAAATGAAGTGCTGATGATGTCGTTCGGAAGAATGATGAAAGCTCCATGATCAAAGCATCCACCTCAGAGAACAAAACTCCATCATAATACTTACTGATCTACTCAGAGGATAGTAGCCTCGAAATTCAAATTTCACAAACCAATACAAATAGGATTTTCAAGAATTCATTTTAAATTATAATTCTATGTGGGAATTAACTAGTTTCGATTAAATAATTAGTTATAACAAGCATATAAGTATGACGAATTGTCGTTTTACACTAAAGAGTGAGTTCAATTAAACAATTATTTAAAATCAAAAAACACTGCCAACGCTGGGACTGGTTGGAAAAAGCGGAGGTGATCAGTGTATGACATGATGTCGTGGTGTGAAAGAAAGCTGTACAGGACCGGCCCCTATTGTTCCTCTACAACTCCCTGGCTGGGGTCCTAGAGATGATGCAACACAGTGGCTAGAGACGTTACCAGATATGGCTCAGAATAGAAGTCAGTGGCGATCCTGCTGTAACCTTCTTTTATTTTCTTTATAAAAAGTGGTTGTAACTTCGTTACCTGAAAGAATTCTTCTGGTTGTACCTTTCCGTTCCCCCAATTATTATTATTATTCTTGTTATTTCACTACCATACACTAATTTGTGGTCGTTATTGTTCGCTCTTTTTTTCTCATACTCACCTTACCTTCTTTTTTTCTCTTCCCATTCTCATTGTTTTGTGTAGCGCATATATATCTGGTGCTCGCTTGAACCAATATTTATGTGTTCAAATAAAATAAAATAATGAAGAAACACTGAAAGTTTTTTTCGTCTTAGTATGAGATTTCTCAACAAGAATAGGCATCCATGACCTTATTTAGGATGAAATCTAAGATTTTTGGACTTCCTAGTGATTGATTAACAAATTCCAACGCCTTATACTATATTCAATCACAAGTGGATACCACCACCTAATGAACAATTAAAAACAAAAAAATGAAAAGCTATTCGGTTCTAGTTTATGATCTTTTAGCAGTGCAATTAACCAAAGCTAGAATGCTACATAGTGATCCACTGATAACTTTGGATAGTACTACTTATACCATGCAACCATAGTTCCAACTCTTCTAGGTGAATTCTCCGTATCCACTAATTTGGTTAAAGCGCCAGATATTTACTTTTCTTCCTGTCAGTTTTGTAAAAAATACCTTCGCCACGAGAAGGCAGTGAGTAAAATTTCTCTGACAGTGGCTATATACACGTGATCATGTAAGAGCATTTAAATAAGGACAACGTAATATTCCCAACATCGACCGTACTTGGTTATTTAGGGGCTGTCTATACTGATATGATGTTGTAACTTGGACCAATACATAGTTTGTGCAAAGTCCTACACATTTAATATGAATGATTGAAAAAAAACTTTTAGTCATATTACCTAACCACTTTCACTGTTGTTCGCAACTATCACGCAGATATCAATTATATAGTCTGGTATACTGAAGACGATTTATTCTAATCATCAGTGTACAAGTAAGACAGATCTATGTCATGTTACATTCAATGTGCCCCCAAATGTCCTGGTACGGCCGAGAGTGGGGAGAGTCAGCTCTCCCTCTCCAAATGCTTTCACATGGCCACGCGTATATAGCCTCTACCAGGGAAGTCTTACTCACTACCTCGCATACGGGTGTTGTTTACGAAGTTGAGAGGACGGAAAGAGAATGTCCGATAGGGGCTTTAAATGGGTTGGTGGACATCGAGAGTCCACCTGGGGGAGTTGGGAAACCCTGATCCCAAACCAATGGTGCACATGGGCTCCAGTACCCTGAGGAAACAAATGGCGTATGAACCAATTATTGGTCACCGGCTACCATGGGACTGCATCTCTTCACGATGCTCTACTGCCTTGTGGGTCAGACCTTTAGGTCGAAGGCTCGGGGTGTGGTCCCCTAAGAAAACCACCTGCTTCGGTTTGGGCACCCGGGGAGTATCACAACCCTTACACATATCAAATGAGATCTGTGTGGCGCATATGTATTTGGTGTCTCCTTGTACCAGTATCCATGTGTTAAAATAAAAAATAAACATTCAATGTAAATCAAAGAATTATGCAGAAAATTAATACAATTTTCATAAAAAAATCACTAATAATTTAAAAAAGAGAAATCACCTTTTTCGTATCCATCAATCGAGTTTTCATTGGTACTTTCTCAGAATACGTTGGATGCTGACGTTTTTTCTCTAAACTTTCAATGGAATCTTTCAACTCTACTAAACGATCTTGACATCGTTTCTGTTCTAATGATACATCAATTAATCCAGCGACATGTAGAAATATTTGACAAGTTGCTGGAATTATTGATGATGGATTTTTGTTAACAACACAGAACTTGATTGATCATCGGAACATAGATTTCACCATTTAAGTGACTAGCATCATCATCGTCATTGTCTTCGGGAACTGTATTAACAGGTGACTCTTCGTTGGACCATAAAATATCACTTGCTGATACTGTTCCACTAACACAACCAGAAGTGTTAACTAAGAAAAAAAATATGGAGATTATAATTGTAATCATACATCAAGTCGGAAAACAAAAAAATAAATACTGAACGATCAAAACTGACATACACCCAAATGCCCTAGTACGGCCGAGGGTAGGGAGGGTCATCTCTCCTTCTTGAAATGTTCTCACATGGCCACGTGTATACAGCTACTACCAGAGAAGTCCTACTCACTGCCTTCTCTCAAAGTGGGTGTTGTTTACGAAATTGAGAGGACGAAAAGTAAATTTCCGACGCTTTAATTGGGCTGGTGGACAGAGGGTTTACCTAGAGGAGTTGGAAAAGCCTGATTCCAAACCATTAGTTCACATAGGTTCCAGGATCCTGAGTGAACAAATGGCGTATGAACCCATTGTTGATCAACGACTACCATGGAAGTGTATCTCCTAACATTGCTCCACTTCCTTGTAAATTAGATCCCTAGGTTAGAGGTTAAAGTTTTAGCCCCCTAAGAAAACCACCTGCTTCGGTTTGGGTACCAAGGCAGTATTACAGCCCTCACATAAATCAATGATAATAACTTCTGGCCTCATTTTTATTGTGTGGCATATATGTATTTGATGCCCCCTCTTGTATCAATGTTAATGTGCCCAAATAAATAATAAATAATCACAACACTTACTATTTTTACGATCAGAAACCATTTGTATAACACGACATCGACCTAATGGTTCAATTACATCAGTTACATATTGTCCATTAATAAGAGTAGATAAGATAGTTTCAGATGCAATTAATTGAACATTTAAAGGTTGACGATTTGCAAGTGAAATTGGTATATGACAAGCTGAAATAAGTCCACGTATACGATGAATAATATTTAATACAAGATGAAAATCTGTTTCAACTCCATTTACATCATGTAATATATTTACCTGATTATAAGAATATCAACAATGATGAAAAAGAAACAAAAACAAACAATATAATACAATCAAAAATCTTTCACTCTTTAATTCTATCAAATAATTTTACAGCCAATCAGTTACAATGTAGGATCAGGCACATATGTGCATCGGTCTAAGTTGCCATACTGCATTAGCACAACAAGATGAACTGCGGATTTATAGAGGTAGTTAGTTCAATGTTAGTAATATATAAAAGAAAGATTGCCAGTCAGTAACAAAGTAGAACTTCGTACGTACATACGTACGTACATCAGTTCGAGTTGCTATACCACATTATCACACAGATATAATTGTTGATTCAAATCATGTAGTGGTAGAGATAGTAAGAGTATAAGCAGTAATCAGAAACATTAGGGTTTGAAGATATTATTCAAGGAGTATAATACAGTGAAATAAATTTGGAAAGAGAAAAAAAGGTACACGTAGAATTCAGGAGAACACAAAGAGTGGATGCACCTGCACCACTACAAACGATTTTGTGCCATATCATTCAAGGTCTTTAACCATGAGCTGACATTGTCTCGCGGATCCCAACAAAGTAGTCTACACCTACAGGAACATATGTTCCAGCCAAGATAGCTCGGCTGGATCATCACGATAGGCAAGTCCGACCACTGCGTCGAGGTAGCAGCTACGGTCGGGAAAGAAAGACTACATATAAGAATAAAGTACTGGAAGAAAGAATTAGTTCGTCGAAAGAAAGATATGAAGCGTTTTTAATCGCATAGTTTAAAAGAAGACAGAGAGTGTATACACCTACACCAATGTGATCGATTCTGAGTCATGTCACAAATTATAATCAATCATTCATAAAAATCTATAAAAGAAAATCGCTGATTTAGTGAGTTATGATAAAAGAAAAAAAAATAAGAAATTGGCAGTTTTGCGTTTATAAACCTATCCCATAGATACTAATTAGATCGATTAATGACCATACTTGATCATATGATACACTGAATTCAATTTTTCGATCTGATTTATGACATAGACCAGAACTAAAGTATATTATTATGTAATATAAAAAGCGAGGAATTCATAGTGTAAAAGAGTCATCTCACATATTAAATACAGATGGATATGCCTATTCCTTGTTTGCCAGATAATGAATATACGGTGTTAATATCAATAATTCGATTCAAGTATATCCAACTGATGAACCTCCTAATTAAATGAAAAAAAATTTCCTGAAACCTAACGTAACCTAATACACATATATGATATATCAGGATTATATGAATTCATAAACAGGATTAGTAGTAGTAGCAGCAGCAGCAGCAGGAATATAAGTGATACTATTAAAGCGAACATAGAATACTACTTTAAGCCAATTAGAGTTTTTCAAAAGTCCCCCCAAACAAAACCTAAAAAATCAAACTATTCTCTAGAAAAAAAAAAGAGACGTGATTAGTTTATAATATGGTGCTGAAGTATGGAAGAAATCTGTCGGTTAATCACGACTTCCTAGTTGGGACTTGAAAGATTATAGGTAATTCTTATTTCTGACGAATGTCAACTAGAACGAAGTTTAAGTCCAGGGTTTTCAATTGATTACCTCCAACCACGTAACATCTAAACATTGTGTATCCATGTCGAGTCACCCAGACTAGCAAGCTTATAACAACTTGATTCATAGAATTCAATCAGTAGCAATAAAAACAACTAAGTAAATAAGACAATGGTCTGTACCATTCAATGACGAACAAACTGTAAATAACTCAGTCTTAAGGAAGATCAAGTTACAGCTTGAATAACTGAATGATAACTTCTTAGAACGTGAATCTAAGTGGTCCAAGTTCAGATCCATCACTTCATTTAAGATTGCAGGTATACACTAAGACTGATTGTTAAGTACCAACTAGTACGTAACTAAGGTGCACAGTTTCTTAATGACTGTTCCAAACAAATCAACTATATATTCAAAATTAATGAACAAGTGTAATGGTTATATGTACATATTAGACAATAGTAATGATTGATTAACGGTTATATTGTACTATTTATTTATTTTAACACATAGATATTGGTACAAGGAGGCACCAAATACATATGCGCCACACAGATCTCATTTGATATGTATGAGGGCTGTGATACTGCTCGGGTGCCCAAACCGAAGCAGGTGGTTTTCTTAATGAGCCACACCCAGAGTCTTCGATCTAAAGGTCTGACCCACAAGGCAGTAGAGCATCGTGAAGAGATGCAGTCCCATGGTAGCCGGTGACCAATAATTGGTTCATACGCCATTTGTTTCCTCAGGGTACTGGAGCCCATGTGCACCATTGGTTTGGGATCAGGGTTTCCCAACTCCCCTAGGTGGACTCTCGATGTCCACCAACCCAGTTAAAGCCCCTTCCGGACATTCGCTTTTCGTCCTCTCAATTTTGTAATCAACACCCCCGCCACGAGAAGGTATTGAGTAGGACTTCCCCGGCAGAGGCTATATACGCGTGACCATGTGAGAGCATTTGGAGAGGGAGAGCTGACTCTCCCCACTCTCGGCCGTATCAGGGCATTTGGGGGCATACTGTACTATACTATACATAGATTGGTTATGTAAATGTAAAATGAAAATTAATCATAAACATACATAAATACTTGAATAATAAATAATTACGTAGACATACATCACTGAGTTTAGGATAGGATTTAACGCATAGACTATCCATACTATTTACAGTTTTATTATCATTATTATTAGGACTATTTCTAGTTAATAAACGTTGATATAATTCTTCTGTAATAAATGGCATAAATGGATGTAATAAACGTAGACCACAATTGAAACAAACATAAAGAATTTGACAAACTAATTGAATACGTTCCATTTCCATATTAGACAATTTTGAATTATTCTGTTTTAATCTAATAATAGGTTTGGTATATTCCTATAAATGGAGTATATACAAAAAAGTGGAAAATGGGAAAAGGTGAATAACAAATATATTTGATTAATAGAAATATTATCAGAAGGGGTTTTGTGGAGATTTTAGAAATTACACTGATTGAAATCATGAGTTAATTGAAGTTAGACCACCATGGAAAGCCTGGAAGCACTGGATGGCCGTTTCGCCCTAGTATGACACTCCGCAGCAGTGCGCATCCACGATTCCGCACCCTGCGAGATTCGAGCCCAGGACCTATCAGTCTCGCGCCAGGCGCTTAACCACTAGACCACTGAGCCGGCATCCAACGGTGTTAATGTCTAACTTCAACCAATCCACGAATATTACTTTTATGTTATCAAAATGTTGAAACTAAAAATAAAACAAAACAAACAAACCAGGTTAATGGAAAATCGGATAGAGACAGGTATCTACCTTAGATAATAAATGATTGTGCAATTTCATAGATTGGTTGAAGTTCAACATGAACAACATTGAAAATGATAGATCAGTGGTCTAGAGGTTAAAAGTTCGCGCGTAAGATCAAAGATCCTGAGTTCGAATCCCATACATGGGATTTGGGATGCACAATGCTGAGGAGTGTCATACTAGAACGAAACAGTCATCCAGTGCTTCCACGTTTTCAATAGTGATGTCTAATATTGATCGATTCATGATCTTAATCAAAAACCCAACAATCTCCATAACACCATACGGATAAAACACAAATGATAATAACGGCAGATTGATACAAACTATTGTGTGACTTTTTCCTGATCTTCGGATGCTGAGTTAGATCATTTGTGAATGTTTCAAAGGATAAACTTCAACATTGGGTCACATCAATGTGTAAGTTTATATGCTATTAGCTTGGAACATTTTTGTAGTTGTGCTCGCCTTACGTAAATCTGTCCGTGTATACTCGAATTGATGATTATCTATTATTTATATATTATTCACTTTATATAAAGACTAAGTCGCCCATAATTTACTGGGTAGGTTTTTATAACAGCTACGCCTATCTGTATCTACCCAATTTCCATACTATCTCTTCCAGTTTGGCTGTTCAAATGAATGTCTAAAATAAACCTCTGTTTTAAACGTAACTCGTATTCAACATTTGGTTTCTATATTGTAACGTGATTAGTCAACAGAAGATAGACAAAGTTAAATCGGATACAAATTATTATAAGTACGTATAATTATTCAATTAACAAAAGGTATAGGAACTTTCTGACAGATATAACTTTGTTAGCAAGTGTCAGCTAGCTCGAAATCGACACCCTTTAGGGGATTATTTATTTATTTAAACAGATACACTGGCACAAAGAAGCACCAATATATATACTGCATATTGATTTGGTCATGCGTAGCTTTCTTCCAATCTATTCCTACGCAACACAATATTACACATTGAAGTGAACGGTAGTTGACCATGGGAAACACATGTCTTAGTCATTTATATGAATGAGTAGTTCGTTTGTATGCATCCAACCTTATGAATTACTTACTGAGATGATGATTCCACCGTGTAATAAATACTGTGATCACATACTAACATCAAAGTCGACATTGAAAGAAGATGAGGTTTCACATATAACAAAATTTGTATTATAAGTAATGTAAATGCATTATAACCCTAATACTAATCATTTACATGACAATTACACTTCAGTTTATTTCGATGAAATCAAAACTTTGGAGAAACAAGGGAGAGAGAGAGAGAGGAAAAAGAAACAAACAAACTTACCAAATAAACATCACATAATTCATATAACCAAAAATGATAACAAGCAGTAGTAGCTATAGGGAATTGAAATTCTGTAAATCCTGTATTACATTGAATGACAGCATAAGCTAATCTTGATAAAATCCATCTATCTGTACCAGATAATAAATTATGTTGTATAAATTGTTTGAATAGACTATTTAAATCAGACATATCCGGTGGTATAAATTCTTTATGTAAACAATGAAATAGCGCATAACTTGAAATTAAATCAAAAGAAAAAAGAAAAGAATTAAATATGAATAGAGACAAAAGAAAATTACGGTCGGATAATAGTTTCGATGCAAATACACCGTATTAGTATACAAATACAAAGGGGCACCGAATACATAGGTGCCACACTTCGTCATTAGATTAGTGCGATGGTTAAGATACTGCCCAGGTGCCCGAACCAAAGCAGGTGGTTTTGTTAGGGGATCACACTCGGAGCCTTCGACTTAAAGGTCTGGATCCACAAAACAGTGGAGCAACTTCAGGAGACACAGTCCTATGTTAGCCGGTGACCAACAATAGGTTCATACGCCATTTGTTCACTCAGGATCCCATTTGCACCTTGGGTTTGGAACCAGAGTTTTCCAAATCTCATTTTCATTATCAACTGATATCAACTATAACGCAGAAGGTTAGGTTTTAAGAATAAGGAGTCAAAAAAGAGTTCTCGCCTCCAATGCTCTGGTACGGTCGATGGTGTGGAGATTTTGTTCTTTGTCTCGAAATGATCTCATATGTCCACGCGTATACAATCACTGCCGGATAAATTTATATCAGGGCAAACCACTATGAATAAAAAATCAAGACGAATGCGATATAATGAAATCAAAAGAAATAGAATAGTAGATTAATCAATAAGCACTGCTGAGTCGTCCCACAATAGGACGAAACGGCCATCCAAGGCTTCCAGGTTTTCCATAGTGGTCTAGCTTCAATTGACTCATGAACTCAACTATTGAAATTACTATAATATCCACAAAAGCCTTCTGATAAGAAAAACAATACTCAGGAAGTATAGAAAGAACTTTAGTTCTATGGTTAGTCTATATGCGGAAAACAAGGGCACTTATAGTATTGTAATCAAGAACTAATTTTAGAAAACATGCTCAAACTGGTAATAATATCAACAATCACTCAATCCATTGATTCCTAAACTCGTCATGAGGATTTCTAACGAACGTTGATTGGACAAAATAGTTTGAGAATTTTTTCCAGATTCTAAAGACACCTTTGATGGATTATTGAATGCTCTTAACAAGAATTAGCTTTCAAGCTTTTCACCTATAACACTAACCAAAAGTAAACTTGAACGTTTCCCCATCTGTATCCAACTGCTTATTTAGAAAATAAAATATTCTTTAGGATAGATGAATTGTGGCTAGCAGTGAAACATAGATACAAAAATATTGGAAGACACATACATCTAGTTGGGGAAGGTGGATACGATGGATTTTACTGTTAACCACAAATCATTAATTTAAAAAGAGTATGAAAAAGGAACGGTTGAACTGAAGAAATCTGCACAGAATACACACATATATCAACCAACGCTTATAAGAACATCTGGTTATGAATATCAACAACTAGACAATTCAAATCCTTATTCATAATGGGATATACATACCGAACAGCATTCCATAATTTATTACAGAAAAATCGATAGCCTTGTACACGCATTATATCCAAATTGATATTTCGTCCTTGAGCTGTATAAGCACATAAAGCAAATCGTAGAGCGTCAGTTCCACATTCAGGAATACCTTTAGGAAAATCTTTTGCTTGAGCTTGACGAGCACGTGTTAATTCATTTGGATCAAGATTACCTTGTTCTAATTGTTTTTGTAAATCTATGTCAAACAAAAAGTAACCAATTTTATTAGTTAATGAGAACAAAACAACAAGTTGATGATAATTATTAGTTACTTCAGTTGAGGTGGCTGGGACTCGTGTTACGTATGCCCGACCACCGAATGACCGACGTTATATGGAGTAGGGGTATGTTGGAAGTAAGCTGAATGTGGCCAGACCAATACGTGGCGCAAGTCCATGAAGTCATTGACAAGTGGACTGAGCCATGTTGGTAGGTGTAGACTACCTGGTTGGGATCCGCGAGATGATAGCAACCGATGGTTAGAGATGTTGAGTCACATGGCTCAAAATCGTTTGCAATGGCGCAGGTGCATACACTCTTTATGTTCTCCTAAATTCTGATCTTCTGAATTCTTCATGTCCCTTGTTTTTTTCTTTTTCCAAATTTATTTCACTGGATTATACTCCTTAGATAACATCTTCAAACCCTAATCTTTCCGATTACTGCTTATACTCTTACCACCTCTACCACTACGGGATTTGAATCAACAATTATATCTGTATGCTAATGTGGTATGGCAACTCGAACTGATGTACGTACGTACGAAGTTCTACGTTGTTACTGACTGACACATTGTGAGTATTCGTAACTGATATGAGAAGAAATTTCATTCATTATTCATCAGCAAAATATTCTAGTACCTCCTACACATCATCATTTTAGATTTGAACAGTAAAAAATAAATCGTCAGAAATGAAAAATGCGATTGTTTATGGTGATCCGATTACAAAATATAGAATTTCGAAATATGCAGCCGTGTTGTTATGATCGATTGTTCTTGTAGACTCTCAATGAAACGTTTGATAATCAAACAAAACTTCCACTCTGAAAAACTTACTCAATCATAATTGAATAGTATAGAAATGAATATTGAATGTTTTTATAACAATAATTAATATTGGATGATTTCGATAGTAATTTTAGTTCTCAATTCTTAATTAAATCGATGAAAAACAATAATGATATGATGATAGAAACAGTATGAAGAGTCTGAAATCAAAAAGTTTTAGCTCAAGGAGTCCCGACCGTTGTTGCTACCTTGACGTGGTGGTCCGGCTCGCCTATCTTCATGAAACAACCAAGCTATACTGGATGGAACAACCGTTTCTCAAGGTCCTACCATGTCAGACAGGTTGGTTGAAGAGCGGTAAGACCAAAAGCAGAAAACCTAAGGTCCGAAGGCGAAGTCGTACTGCTGACTGTACAGAGGTGTAGCAGCAGTAAGGTGTTTCCTTCAGACAACCAGCATGACAGCGATGCTGCCTTCCCACAAGAAGGGGTGGGGTTAGAAAAGATCGACCCTAAAATGCACACCTCGCCTTATCCCACGGATATCCGTCTCCAGTGGTAAGGTCTCGACAAGTACGGAGCTAACACAAAAATTACTCATAAAAAGATTGCGTGTGATCGACCTCAAGCAGTTGTCTCCTGGGCACTGCGGTCACGCTCTCATGTCACTAGGACCACCTCTAATCCAATTTCCTTTTCAGGTATTTATAGAAGAACCCTTCCATGGTGTGGGCAACCGGGAAGTGATAACCGCCCTCATACCTCTAACAGCATTCAAAACCACTGTACCTCTAGCAGCTCAAGCAGTAATAACCAATTGTGACTGTTATTTTGATTTGGTGATAAAATTTGTCTATCCATTGTGATGACTAAGTCAAGCTATGCTCATTGAAATAATTATTTCTAAAAGGATGTTTAATATGCCAAACAAATTTGGATGGAGAGTGGTAAGATCAAAAGTGGTAAATCTAAAGTCTAAAAGAAGAAGTTACATTTTTAACTGTACATGCGGGTATGATAGCAGAATGGTATTTTGCATGAATATTGAGTGATGATGTCTTTCTTCAATTAGGAATTTCACAAGATTGGCCTTAAAAATTTCCGATACAGAAGTATGCGTGATTGGTCATAGGTAATGGTCGATTTCTTAGGTTTTCATGACACCTACTAACTCAATCTTCGTTTTAAGTCCTTCAAAAAGTAATATTCCTCCATGGTGTAGGAAGTAAGGAGGTGGTAACTGCCTAGACGCACGCCCTTCCTAATAATAATGGAGTTCACCTACTCTACGACATGATTAACAAAGAGTGTAGTACCAATGCCTCAGGCATTGTAGGCAAAGTAGCAGAAATCCCAGAACGTAGATTTCGTGTTATTGAGAACTGGTCGGCAATGCAAGTATTCTATCTTGATTAGAACTGATATCGTCCATGAGAACTGAACACAGCACAAAAACAGATTGAGACTAATTTCCTCCACAATCGAGATGCTGGCATTGAACAATCGTTTAGCAAATATTCAATATCATGTTCCGAGTCCACATTTTATCAAGCATTTTGAAATGTGACTCTTCTACGTCAAGTAATTCGGGATTGAGGTGAGAGCCTCTGGTTAAACAGGAGTAATCTACGAAGTGCATGATTCAGTATCTAGTTTTGAGGTACACTAATTTGTGTAACGACTAGAAATACCATACGGTAGGTAGATCAAATAGGATTTGGGTCTGCAACCTACTGGTTGAAAGGCAATAAGCCATTATTTCATAGGTTTCGTTATGAGTAGCACTTATTAGTAAGGTGCTTTATACAATCACACGAAAACCGATACTCTGTCTTCGAAAATCCCAAACCAAATTATCAACTGACGTAATGCAAAACAATACAACCTACGTCCGTGATTAAGGTCTCAGTCATATCTAACATAATACATAGAAAGAGAGAGATAAACAATGATGAATAACAATCATAACGTACCTTCTAAAGATATTCCATTGATGACATCTACTGGATCGATTGCATTACCCAAAGATTTACTCATTTTTTTGCCATGAGCATCACGAACCATAGCATGTAAATAGACAGTATGAAATGGTAATTGTCCCATTAATTTCAAACCAATCATAACCATACGTGCAACCCAGAAAAATATAATATCATGCCCAGTTTCTAATAAACTACCGGATAATAAGCTTTTAAATCTGGTGTTTGTTCAGGCCAACCAAATACAGAGAATGGAAATAATTGTGAAGAGAACCATGTATCTAATACATCATTATCTTGGTTTAAAGTTAAGTTATCTGGTGAACAATGGAATTTATCACAGGCTTTTTGAAGTGCTTCTTCAATTGTATGACCAACTACCCATGAATTATGATCTGTAGGCTGAAACAACAATAAATTCAGAAGAAAATTAAAATGGAATCTAATTCCTATCAAGAACAATCCAAATGTTTTAGTGAAATTACACTCTGATCAAACACTTGATTTGATCATTTAACGTATCTTTATAAATCTCAACTAAATAAGTTTTGAGTTTCATTACATTTTGAACATCACTAGTAACAGCATTGGTGAGGATATGCAAACGAGAATAAATTGACGTCATATCTTAAAGAATGAGAATATGATAAGGAGGTTTACTGTCAGTCAGTCTTGAGTGCTGGTATAGGTATGAGGGCGGTTATCACTTCCCGGTTGCCCACACCGTGGAGGGGTTCTTCTATAAATACCTGAAAAGGAAATTGGATTAGAGGTGGTCTTAGTGACCTGAGAGCGTGACCGCAGTGCCCAGGAGACAACTGCTTGAGGTCGGTCACACATGACCTTTTTATGAGTAATTTTTGTATTAGCTCCGTACTTACCTTACCGCCGGAGACGGATATCCGTGGGATAAGGCGAAGTGTGCATTTTTAGGGTCGACCTTTTCTAACCCCACCCGTTCTTGTGGGAGGGCAGCATGAAATCACTGAGTGAAACTACGATGTCTAAATGCTCATTTTATACAGATTAGTTCAACATAGTCAACTGTTTTGTGTTTATGTTGAAATTTAGTGAATTACTTAAATTATTAAAGCAGATTATACTTTAATAGTGATTGGAAAATGCGTTTAACAAGTAAGATTGATGAATGAAAAGTTTAGAATGACGATTCGATAAAATTACAATACATTGAAGGCCTTTAGTTAGCCTATCAGATCCAGGGTAACACCTAATGTATTTTTGAACGGAGTTTAAAGTGTTGTGCTATATAACATGGATGTTATGATTAACCAAGTGAAAATTGGAAATATTTGGATCTTAAAATGCTTTAAATCAATCAAAAAGTCAATTTTAAATGGTACTTTAGTTAACTTACAAAATGTAGATGCTCCTGTGGCAGATTGTATGTTAAAGTACTTGATGTCATTTATTGCGCAATCAAGAGTGTTTAGTGAAGCTAGATAATATTCTCCCTTTACTTAATTTCACTTTAAATTTCGAACCTAGGTTTCTCAAGTTTGAACACAGGAAGGTGAAAAGGCATTACACTATAGTTGATATCAGTTCGTGTTAAAATCCTTGATCCTAATTTGTAAACCAAACTCCAGTTTAAATCTTAATACTTAACCTTAAACTTTTCGCATTATAAGGTTGTGACGAAAACTCCATGAGCTGATAACCCTAACTCAAAACACAAGCCAAACTCCTAATATATATAATGTGTAAACTTTCCATCTTTTTTTCTTTACTACAAGGGATAATTTGACTAGTGAGGGTTGATGATAGCGACCGAAGCTGTTATTCCACCGTAATTTCATTACTTTATATTGTTAACTGTTTTAAAACTAGACAATGACTCCTCATTGGCTGATAAGTCACCCCAATGTGATCAGCATATTATAGCTTTGCCAAAAATTCCTTCAAAAATGTAGAACACAAAAAAGAAATTATAATTGTCAGAAAGGGATTTTGTGGAGATTGTAGTAATTTAATAATTGAGTTCATGAGTTGGTTAAAGTTAGACATTAACACCATTGGATGTCAGCTCAGTGGTCTACAGGTTAAGCGCTCGCGCGCGAGACCGAAGTTCCTGGGTTCAAATCCAGCGATCGGGATTGTCGATGCACTCTACTGAGGAGTCCCATAATAGGGTGGAACGACCGTCTTGTGCTTCTAGGTTTTTTACGGTGGTCTAGCTTTAATTGACTCATGAATTCAACTATTAAATTATAACTGTGTAAAAGCGAAAAAAAACAACAAACTATAATTCAACACTTACATCTAAAACTTCTAAATTATCTACGCCAGGACGTCGAATCGAAACATGATAAGCAGGAATACGATGCCCCCACCATAATTGTCGGGAAATACACCAATCATGACAATCTTTAAGCCAATTATTCCATGTACGAATATGGAAACTAGGAATAATACGTAAGCGACCTTCAGATACCTGTTGGGAATAAGAAACAACAACATTATTATCATATACAGAGTAAACCATCATCTCAAAAATGAAATTTATTATATGGAGCTAATAACAGATGCCTAATGAACACTATTTTAGTATAACATATATAAAATCCAATTCATGGACGGTAGTGAAATACAACACTATTTCTTTTGGCGTCTTTGAGATTTGGTTGTCTAATTTTTTGACGGGATTTGTGTCCATTAGTTTGTATGTGCTCTTATCTCCCAGTAGTTCTTCGGCTTTGTTGACGTATTCTTCTTTGTCCATGATTACTGTGGTGCGTCCTTTGTCCGCTGGTATTATGACAATATCTTTTCTATTTCTGAGTTCTTTCAAGGCCTTTTGTTCTTGTGGAGTCAGTTGGTGGTTTTCTTTCACCCGCTGAGTTATCGGTACTATAGTTTGCCTTATTTCCTGTTGTGTTTCTTCACTGATTCCGGAAGTTTTGAGTGATGACTCTAGTGCTGCGAAGAACTACAGCTTTGAGGCGAAGCTTGTATTGTAGTTTAATCCTTTTTGGAGCAGGTGTTCTTCCGTATTTGTTAGTGGTTGTTTTGACAGATTGATCACGCAGTTGTTTGTGTTTTCTTCCATGGGTGGTTTTGAGATCTTGATTAGTTTTTTCTTTAAGGTGTTTCTTCTTTGTTCTCTATGTCGTCTGCATGATATCTCGATGGCTGTTGTCACGATTTCCAAATGTTCTGATGTGAGCATCCTTTGTAGCTTTATCTTTTGGTCCTCTATGACGTGTTGGTATTTGCAGATCCTGTAGTGTGCATCCGTTATCATTAGGTGTACCATTTTTCTTCCACTTTGCTCGGCTATCCTCCATCCTAATGGGCAGTTGATTGGAGGTCTATATCTTACACTTGTTGGTAGAACATGCTGGCGAAGACACTCATGGAGAAAATATAGTTGTTCTTAGGTGGAAGCCTGTCTTTTGGTAGGCATGTTCTAACAACACTATTTCATTTTTCTAAAACTAAACTAACCACTTGATCAAGTTAGAAACAAACCAATTTGTTGAGGGTAAAAAAAATGTAAAGTAGTAGCGACTCCACTACTGAACAATAAGAATGAATATAAATGATTGCCTTAATTAAGCCTTAAACTTTATTTAGAACAAAACAAATGCTGTTACGTGTCGTAGGTAGATAGATCGTGAACGCATGAATAACAACTCACTAAAATCATACTTACGCTTGTTACTCTTTGTTTTGTTATTTGTACCTAGCATAATATACATGTGCACTACATCAATCTAATCTGTTGTAAATCTAAGTTATTTCGTACATTTACAGTGACTGAGCTTGCCTTAGCCATATTATTTATCAGAAAGAGAAGTGATTCGTAAAACTACGTCTCATTTATTACCGCCTGGAGACCCTCTGGGCTACTGCCGGCCCCAAGCCCGGGTAAGGGAGGAGGGCTGGGCGTAGGGTTAGCGACCCCAACCCGTAGAAAACTAACTCGCCAAAAAAACGCTAACCATAATAAATAATTCAAACCATTTAAACTCTTCACTGGGAGTTAGAAGAGTTATGACGTCTCATGATGAAAACCTAGTTCCTTCGGAAGTCAAGAGGTAGATGCCCCTTCTAAAATCCAGAGAAACCATTAATTTAGGTACATAGAATGTCCATACAATGTGGGAGACTGGGAGAGCCATTCGCGTTGCTGCAGAAACGTAAAGATACAACCTGGAGGTGCTTGGAATTAGTGAAACATATTGGAAGCAGGTTGGACAACATAGACGAGCTTCAGGAGGGCTGCTTATATACTCCAGCCATGAAGAAGGAAATGCTCCGCATACACAAGGAGTTGCATTGATGCTATCTAAACAAACCAAAAAGCACTTATAGGATGGGAATCTCATGGACCCATGATCATCAAAGCCTCCTTCAACACAAAGAAAGAGGGCATTACAATGAACGTCATCCAATGTTATGCGCATACCAATCATTACAATGAAAACATAAAAGATTAATTCTACGATAGGCTGTCAGTCGTTGAGAAATGCCCAATAAAGGACTTGACCATTGTGATGGGAGACCTAAATGCCAAGGTTGGAATGGACAACACCGGATATGAAGACATCGTGGGACGACATGGACTGGGAAAAGGAACGACAATGATGAGAGAGTTGCAAGCCTATGTGCCTTCAACAAACTGCTCATAGGCGACACCATATTCCCATATAAAAGCATGCACAAAACCACATGGATTTCACTGGATCACACTACGCAAAACCAAATCGACCATATCTGCATAAACAAAAAGTTCAGAAAGACGATGGAGGAAGTGAGAACCAAGAGAGGAGCTGATATAGCATCAGATCATCACTTGCTGGTCGCCAAGATGAAACTGAAACTTAGGAAGCACTAGAAACGGAGCGGACAACAGCACAAAAGTTTAATACAGCTTTTTTGCCGGGATACTGGAAAACTCAACGAATTTATAATAGTCCTCAGCAATAGGCTCCAGGCCTTTCATGATCTACTCAATGGAGAGGGTACTACTATGGACAGCAACTGGAATGGGACAAAAGAGGCAATCACTTCAACATGAGGTTCTGGGTCACAAGAAGCACCATCACAAAGAATGGATCACTCTTGATACACTGGATAAGATTCAAGAAAGGAGGAACAAGATAGAAGCAATCAATACCGTCCGAACAAGAACAGAGAAAGCCAAGGCACAAGCTGTATACGCAGAAGTGAACAAGCAAGCGAAGAGGAGCATCAGAACCGACAAATGCAAATTATGTTGAAGATCTAGCAATGACGGCGGAAAAGGCTGAAAGAGAAGGAAACATGAGACAATTGTATGACACAACGAAGAAACTCGCTGGAAATTATCGTAAACTAGAACGACCAGTGAAAATCAAGGAGAGCAAAATAATCACCAACATCAAAGAACAGCGAAACAGGTGGGTAGAACACTTCAAATAACTCTTGGATCGAACAGCTCCACTGGACCCGCCCAACATCGAAGCAGCACCCACGGACCTCCCAATCAATATTGGCCCACCAACAATTGAAGAGATCAGCATGGCCATCAGACAAATCAAGAGTGGCGAAGCAGCAGGACCAGACAACATTCCAGCAGAGGCACTGAAAGCAGATGTAGTAGTAACTGCAAAGATAGTCCACATTCTCTTCAGCACGATTTGCGATGAAGAACAAGTACCAAGAGACTAGAAAAAAGGACACCTGATCAAGATGGCAAAGAAAAGAGATCTCAGCAAGTGTGATAACTACAGGGGCATTACTCTTCTCTCAATACCAGGAAGTCTTTAACAGGGTATTGCTAAACAGAATGAAGGATACCGTAGACGTTCAACTTCCAGATTGACAGGCTGGATTCCGTACGGATAGATCGTGTACAGACCAAATCGCGACTCTACGGATCATTGTGGAACAATCAATTGAATGGAACTCATCACTCTACATCAACTTCACTGACTACGAGAAAGTATTTGATAGCGTGAACGAGACAACAATATGGAAGGTTCTCCGACATTACAGCGTGCCTCAGAAGATAGTCAATAACATACAGAATTCCTATGATGGATTAAACTGCAAAATCGTGCATGGAGGACAACTCACAGACTCGTTCGAGGTAAAGACCGGTGTCAGGCAAGGTTGCTTACTCTCACCCTTTCTCTTTCTCCTAGTGATCGACTGGATGGATCATGAATACGTCAACATCTGAGGGGAAGCATGGGATACAATGGATAGCTAGAATGTAGCTGGACGATCTAGACTTCACTGATGATCTGGCTATTCTATCGAACACCCAACAACAAATGCAAGAGGAGACGACCAGTGTGGCAGCAGCCTCAGAAGCAGTAGGTCTCAACATACACAAAGGGAAAAACAAGATTCTTTGATACAACACAGCATGCACCAATCCAATCACAATTGACGGAGAAGATTTGGAGGATGCAAAAACCTTTACATATCTGGTCAGCATCATTGATGAACACGGTGGGTCTGATACAGATGTGAAGGAGCGGATCGGCAAAGCAAGAGCAGTATATTTACAATTGAAGAAGATATGGAACTCGAAACAACTGCCTATCAACCAACACCAAGGTCAGAATTTTTAATACAAATGTCAAGACAGTTCTACTGTATGGGGTGGGAACTTGGCCAACTACGAAAGTCATCATTCAGAAGATACAAGTGTTTATTAACAGTTATTTACAAAAAATATTTCAGATCGGTTGACCAGACACAATCAACAACAACCTATTGTGGGAGAGAACAAATCAGATTCCAGAGGAGGAAGAAATCAGAAAGAAGCACTGGGAGTGAATAGGACACACATTGAAGAAAGCATCCAACTGAGTCACAAGGTAAGCCCTCATATAAAATCATCAAGGTCAAAGGGGAAGAGGAAGACCAAAGAACACATTGAGCTGAGAAATGTAGATGGACATGAGAAGAATGAACAAGAGTTGGATAGAACTAGAAAGGAAGGCCGAGGACAGAGTGGATTGTAGAATGGTTGTCGATGGCCTATGATCCATTGGAGGTAAGTCGTAAGTAACACATGGTCAGTCATATGTAATGTGGAATCTGGTGCAAATATCCATAATTGGAAGTTACCACGTCGTATGTCAGTACAACGAGGTAAAATGAACAAAACGAACAACTTACAGGTCGAAACGACCATAGTAGTAATGAGAATGACAAAAAAGTAGAATATGGTTCGATAAGATGGGATGGAAAGGTACGTAAGATGGAATACTGGAACTTAACATCTAGAGACAGATAAAGAATGAATTCATCTGGGCCAGTTTGATCGATTTTGGAACCACATCATTCACCATCTTAAACTACTAATCGCAACTAAGAGGTGAGATTCAACCAGGTAATCTACACCTATAAACACGGACTAAACAAGGCAGTCTATGTTAGTGTAATCAAAATAAGTTTTGAAGAGAAACTATAATTGAATACAACAATTGGTAGCATGAAGAGTAATCAAAATTCTTTTTATAAAAAAACCAACCTCCTTCATTGCCGCATTAGCCATATCCTGACAACGTAGGTACCATTGCGGTTTCAACAATGGTTCAACAATATCTTTGCTTCGAGAACATATCGGCACAACCATAGGATTATCTTTTTCACCTCTATACAAGCCTAATTCATCGAGAGCTTTCCGAACGGCATCTCGAGCAACAAATCTTTGAAGTCCTGTAAAGCCAATATTAAATCTATCATTATTATTTTAAAGTAATTTAAACGAAGTAAAGTACGTGACTAAACTTTTCTTTAATTCAGTGTCGATTAGGAAAAGACAAAAACGTAAAGGTAGGGTATTGGATGAATGAGACTCGGTCAGTCAGCAACAACGTTGAACTTCGTACGCACGTACATCAGTTCGAGTTGCTATACCAAATTATCACACAAATACAATTGTTGATTCAAATCCCGTAGTGGTAGAGATAGTAAAGCAGTAATCGGAAAGATTAGGGTTTGAAGATGTTATCTAAGGAGTATAATCCAGTGAAATAAATTTGGAAAGACAAAAAACAAGGGACATGAAGAATTCAGAAGATCGGAACACAAAGAGTGGATGCACCTGCGCTATTTTAAACGATTTTAAGCCATGGATGAATGAGACTATAATTTATGGATGGCCTTTGAATGACGCTAAAGCGACCTTGAGTAAACTTACCTACTTACTAGGGTTAAAAGAGGATTATAGATTAATATGAGGAATTAGGATGAAGGTAAAGAGTTAGAAGTTAGCGTTAGGTATTAAAAATTGAGTTTTCATCATATACTGACATCAACTAAGTGGTAAAATTCTATTCAGACATACGGATAAATCGACTGTGTGCCAAAATACAACACTTGCCATCGTTAATCCCATTGGTTCGTTCATAAATTTTATTTTCGCCATTGGATGCTGAACAACTAGTAAGAATCAGCACGGTTTAGAAAAAACAGCCTAACAATCTCTTCTAATTCTCTGATAGGGATCTTACAAATAATGATTTTGATGTGCAGTTACTTATGTCAACTATGTTGATACTGTTTTAAAGATCAGTATATAATTATTATCATCAATCATATCATACAAGTGATGTATAAACTTGTTCAGGCACCCACAACACAGTAACAAAGCTTTGACTGTACTGTCTTGTTATTTCTCCTTAACTATATATTACACAACCGGATGATGACAAAACTTATGATTCACTTATGGTATCTCATATAATCAAAAAGGATATTGTGTAGCAGTTTTAAGTGATTTTATGTTATTATTTATTTGAACACATAAATACTGGTACAACGGAGCACCAGATACATATGCGCCACACAAATCTCATTTGATATGTATGAGGGCTGTGATACTGCTCGAGTGAACAAACCGACACAGGTGGTTTTCTTAGGGGGTCACACCTGTAGCATTCGACCTAAAGGTCTGGATCCATAAGGCAGTGGAGCATTATAAAGAGATGCAGTCACATGATAGCCGGTGACCAACGATTGGTTCATACGCCATTTGTTACCTTAGGGTACTGGAGCCCATGTGAACCATTGGTTTGGAATGAGGGTTTTCCAACTCTCCTAGGTGGACTCTCCATGTCCACCAACCCGGTTAAAGCACCGAACATTCGCTTTTCGTCCTCTCAATTTCGTAAACAACACCCCTGCCACGAGAAGGCAATGAGTAGGACTTCTCTGGCAGAGTGATCTTATGAATGCTAGGTTTATCGAAACAAGACGATGGACATTTGAATATAATGCTACTTCATTTATATAGTATCCTATCAACATCAGACTGAATCTTATGCCTCTGAAACTCCATAAATTCAAACCCCATTTTAATTGGCTATTGCCAATGGAGTTTTAAGTCAGTTTAATGGATCGCTTCATATTGAAGTAGGGAAATGGGAACGAAATATTTCCACGTGAACTTTAGTGATGTGTTTGTATTAAAAGCAATTATAAATTGAAATACAGCCACTCAACTTAAACAGAAAAAAACAATCCTTTAAAAAGAATTACAATGGAATCTAGTTGATTAGTAAAATAAAAAGAGTGAAAATACTACTTTGAAGAACAAAACAACTAGACTTTATTTATACTCTACTGTTGTTAACTATTCAACGACAGTGTAAATGGACAGTAGAAATTAGACATCTATGTGTTGGTGTAGTTAAGAAGATTGGAAGTAATTTAGAGTGATTGAGATTAATACCACAATTGAAAGGAAAACTTCAGAAGTCTTAAAGAATGATAGTTCAGGAATAATAGTGTTATTACAATTGACTAGGTTAAGAGTTGGCCTGCTTTTATTCGTTTATTTTTGCTGTGATGATTACGGCAAAATCACTATGACTAACGTTGTTTTTAACAGCCTAACTTGTATAATTATCTAACACGTCACTGAAACTCGTACTACAACAGACTTTCGACTTAAAGTGAATCTTCCTGTCAAATCTGTACTAATTAGTTAATTTTCTGATTGAGACCATGAACCGATTGATGTTAGAACACCATTCAAAACCTGGAAGCACTGGACGGCCATTTCGTCCCATTGTGACTCCTCAGCGGTACGCATCAACGATCCCTCACCAAAGGGATTCGAACCCAGTGCCTTGAGTCTCGCGTGTGAACGCTTAACCTCTAGATCCCTGAGCCGGCATCCAACGGTGTTAATATCTAACTTCAACCAGTCCAAAAAATTGTGTGACCATCTTTCATTGAACTGAGGTAGATACCTGTCTTTACTCGACACGGATTAGCTCCACTGGTCACGGCTTCTCACTAGAACTCCGTGAATTCCCTGACGAAGCTAACCACTGGTGAACACATGGTAATTATCAGTATGGGGTTGTGGAAATTATTAAGATATTGATTGGGATCATGAATCGATTGATATCCAGTGCTTCCACGTTTTTAATGGTGGTCTAACATCAATCGGTTCATGATCCCAATCAAAAACTGAATAATCTCTACAACCCCATACTGATAATTAGTTAACTGTTTTCGTAAAACAATAGTACTAAATTCCATTGATCGAAAAGTCTTGTAGTGTTCTTTGTCAATAAGACGCAGTATATTACCACGTTGATGGTTAGTTATTTAATCGGACACTGATGACCAAGTTGAAAGATAGAATTTCTATATTTTTATTAAACTATTTTTAAAGAAAATACCTATAGGGTTAATGTTTTCTTTATCTGACTTATCGAAGTGACTGGTTAAAAACATACTTCGGTAGTAAATACTTCTTTGAAGTTTGTACCACAAGTACGGCAAGTATTCACTAACTACATGGTTTATTCATACCTGCAAATCTGGGACCTGAAGCAGATGTCATCAAACCATCTTCACCAATTACTACTATAGTCGGAAGTGAATGCCTTTTCCCAATTTCCCAATCATTATAATCATGAGCAGGTGTTATTTTTACAGCACCAGTTCCAAAGTTCGGATCAACAAATGTATCACCAACGATTGGAATTAATCTATCTGGAATAAGTGGATGCTTGATTAGACGACCAATTAAATGTCGATAACGATCATCGTCAGGATGTACAGCAACGCCTGTATCACCTAGCATTGTTTCAAGTCGTGTGGTTGCGACAACAATTTCAGTGTCGGATTCAACTTACTAGGATCTGTTAATGAAGAAGAAAACAGCATAAAATGAACCAAAGTTTAACAATTTAAGATGAAAAAGTTATCAAAATGATATATGCAAAAGAATGAAATTGTACGAATAATATCATGTATGTTTACCAAGTACACATTTAGGCTGGCGAAACCATACCTGCTCCCCAGACAAATATAGGTCTCGAAAAGGCAGTGTGCTAGTTGAAGGGCGAATATATCAATTGTAAGGTTACCATTCTTGGTTAGTGAGTTACACACCTAATGCTAGAGTAAACAATGCTAGCTATATGTCCAAACTCAAGCAAGTTAGTGATACACAACGTACTAATATTATTCATAAAGGAACTAAATATACAGAATATAATGGTTTGACATAAGAAGTAATTTTGAATCTCGGGATCTAAGGGATAATGAAAAGTAAATGTATCTGAGCCATTGCGATTGATTCTGAACCGTCTCAAACTACTGATCGTGGTTTTCACATGAACCCAAACCCGCTTCCATTTGAAGAAAAAATTAGGAAAAGATGTTGGAAGTGGATAAAATATATATTACGGAAATAATCAAACTGTGTCACGAGGCAAGCTGTAACTTTGAATTCTGAAAGGAAGCGGAAAAGAGGAAGGCCAAAGAACACATAGCGTCGGGAAATAGAATCAGATATGAAAAGGATGAATAACAACTGAAAAGAGCTGGGAAGGATTGCCCAGGACAGGGTTGGATAGAGAGTGCTGGTGGGCGACCTATGCTCCTCCATGAGTAACAGGCGTAAATAAATAAGTTAGTAGCAAAATTATTTGACTTTTAACTACAAACATGGTAGGTTTTAAACTTATAAAATTTATCTCAGTCTGAGTAGCTGAGTAGTAGTATCACTAGCCTTTAAATAAATGTAAGCAAATAAACACTTATATGGTTGATGATACACACTATGGACATTCAGAATAATCTATAGGATTCAAAAACATTTGAAAAAGAGATCGAAAGTTCTCGTTTTTTCTACGCGGTTTAAACTATTGCTATGAACATGAAAATTCTAGAAACAAATGCATAAAGATGTCTATTGAATTACTTCGACCATTAAACCAACGTTCTACATCACCAATTTAAGTTGATAAGGATATTTGATGTCGTCTAAAATGAAACGGAATTGAATGATAGAAGAAAGTTATGGAGAGAAACAATAGCTGGGAGAAATGCTTACCAGGTAGAAGAGGGTAGGCAAACGATACGATAACTCCGAATGCTACAGGTTTATTATAGCCAGGAACACGAAGTAAAGTACGTCCAGAAAGTTCTTGTTTATCTACCTCGATATCTGATATGGCTGAACGTAAAGTACAAGACCAATTGACTAATCGAAGGCTTCGATAAATTAAACCATCATCGTATAAACGAATAAAAGCCTCTGTAACAGCTTTACACATAGATGGATCCATAGTGAATCTAGCTCGAGACCAATCACAAGAACTTCCCAAAGCTCTAAGTTGTTGATAAATGCGATCACCCTTTCTACAAAGATAAATAAAGGTTATTTAAATTGTCGTAGTGAAGGGAAAAAGAAAATGGTGCAACTGGTACTGGAAAATAATGCATGGGACAAACTGATTTGATGAGGACACATCATTAAAGTCGACTCTAATACAAATTTGATGTTTTGATTCTATTATTATCCATTCGTTTTGTTTAGCATGGTAGGACCTCAATGAAAATACGTTTTATCCAATATAGCTCGGCTGATCTAGATTAGCAAGTAAAATCACCCTGTTAGTGTAAAAGCTACGGTCGGGCAGTGGCGTGAAGAAATGAATGAACTTAATTAGGGTACCTCAATCCAAGTATCCGTCCACCACAAAAGAACCGATCACGTAGAATTCCAGGTCCCCGACTCTTAATGAAGTTGGAAAAGGCACAGTTAGCCTAAAACAAGGGAGACAAGCGGGCTCTTATATAGGTTTTTAAGAATAGCAGTCTAGTTTTAGCAGTCATATTGACTGAGATATTAGCTAGAATCCAGGAACTGGACATAATCCCACCTGACTGATTTTAATCGTTGCTTGTCCCAGTTTATAAGAAAGGACAGAAATCTTCTTGTGACGGCCATAAAAGAATCAGTTTGATCAATAAAGTGTCTAAAATAACAACTTTAATAATCATCGCACATTTAGCTATGGCTAGTAAAGAGTGAACCCGGGAGAACTAGGCAGACTTTTGACCTGGATAAGGATTTATCCATCATTATGACTAACTCGTTTGCCAGGTATTTGGGAAGGAACCACACCAAGTGTGAGGACGACTTCTATTATCCAGTCACTTAAACCGAGGTAGGTGGAGTGAGGTTCGAATCTGGAAATTAGTGACCGACGGTCAAATGTCTTAACCAATAAGTCACCACCCCAAGTGTTTGGCCCTTGTCAGGTTCTGGAACAAAACCATACTTTCCGACGTCCGACTATAGGTCTTTGACCATAAAGCACCATTCGACACAGTTAATTCGGATTTCGTGGTGGTGTCTAACATTGAAAGGCGTACCAAAATGCATCAACCTCCTATAAGCTCCACTACAATAATACCGGTAGATTTGGAACCTGTGGTGAACTGTCACTAGATTTGTCCACTTTAAGGGCTCTTATTCTTTCATTTCTATTTAAGTTTGTTGTAAACATTCGTTTAAACATAACGCTCTCATTGTTTAACTTTACATCTCGCTGAGATAATATGGTGTGAGAAATTGAACCAACGCAAGTATCTGCCACGTCCTACGTTGACTATGAATGTTTGCCAAACAGTCATGTAGTAGCCTCTGTGTAAAACAAAATAAATGCTGTGGAATGTATCACAGAGTCAATAAAGCAAGTGTCAGGTAATGTCTAATAGTTTATCAGTTGAACACTAACCTTCAACTCGTTAATACTAATTAACGTGAAGCGTATAAGGACAAATGATCAGTTAGTCAATCATAGAGATATAAGAACTGGAGAAAAGTGAATCGAACCACTTTTGGAAACCGAGAGATAAAATTAATAAATTGAGAAGTACGCAACGGGCTGAAATAATGATAACAATGGAAATAGTAATAATATCAAATGGGACGGGAAATCAACCACAAAATTTTAGTTTAGTAAGGAACAAATAAGATCGAAGAATAGAAAATATAGCATAACAGCAACCTTAAGATTTAGAGGCAAATAAAAAAAGAACCCAACTGCGCTAACGTGATTGATAGGATGTAACCTTTAACTGGTTTCAAGATTCCTTCTACTTGCCTACTACTCATAAACACCTTGAAAAGATATCGACATTAGATATCCAACTTTAGTTATGTTGGAAAAATCACAACACGTTGACTACAAAAATAATTACGGATAGTGGTTCAGTTTCAACAGCTAGGTTGACTGAGATAGTCTAACGTTTGAGCAGTTCAATGTAATTTTATCACACGAGTTAAGGTTGTTTATTGTACCAGCTCAAAAGAAAGGGTATACATCAGAACCAGTCTGACTAATATATTATGTGGTTAAAATACTAAATCTGATTTATTGTGCGTACAAAAATGAATAACTAATCTATTTACATGACATGTTAAATACTCTTTAATGAACATCATACTAACAACCAACACAAATGCTTAATTTATGAAACAAATCTTACTCTTCTTTCCATTTCCAAACTTCTTTCACAAATTCATCACGTCCAATATCATGTCGAGTGAGATTTTTCTCTCGCCACAACTTTTTTTCTACCACTACCTATGATGAAATGATAGTGTAAATATTGTTTTTAAGATGATCATAAGTGTTTTGACATGTCGGAAACTTAAATGTAGTTACTTGGTTTACAAACGTTAAAAATTAGAAATGTTTAGACTATCTGACCATACCAGTTACAATTGTCCATGAGTAATTTAATTTGGTTAGTAATGCCCTGGTACGTCCGAGAGTCGGTAGAGTTCACTCTCCCTCTCGAAATGCTCTCACATGGCCACGCGTATATAGCCTCTGCCAAGGAAGTTCTACTCACTGCATTCTCGTGGCCAGACACTTATTTACGAAATTAAGAGGACGAAAAGCGAATGTCCGGCAATTTAACCGGACTGGTGGATACGAAGGATCCACCTAAGGGAGTTGGAAAACCCTGATTCCAAACCAATGATGCACGTGGGCCTCAAGATCCTGAAGGAACGAATGGCATATGAACCTATTGTTGGTCACCGACTACCATGGGACTGCATCTCCTTACGTTGCTCCACTCCTTTGTTGGTCAGACCTTCAGGTCAAAGGCCCCGGGTGTGACTCCCTAAGAAAACCACCTGCTTCAGTTTGGGCATCCGGGCAGTATCACAGCCCTCACACATATCAAATGAGATCTGTGTGGCGCATATATATTTGGTGCCTCCTTGTACCAATATCTATGTGTTAAAATAAATAAATAAAGCATTTGTAATTATCATAACTAAAGTTTGACATGATTATCTGGCTACACATTTTGCTTGGGAATGAAAAGAATAGTAGCAAAACAAAATTTTTGGTATGAATTATCATATACTTAATTTACAGTAAACAAAAATGTAGTATTGAGAACTGTATGATATATATGAATCTAAGTGGTAAGAAAACTGTGAACCCACTGGCTCGGTGGTTAAAGTAATGGCAGGTTTAAACGGTGCTTTATCTGCGCCAATCCTCGTACATATTCACCGACTTAAATCGCGTTGGTGAATAACGGAATTAAATAAGTCAAATATGAGAATGGGTTTTTGAATACGTATATTCCGTACAATCGTTGAGTGAAAAGCGAAACAAAAAACAACACGCTATGGAAAGGGCGAGTGAGCCAACTCAATTTAGCCAGGCGTGAATCGATCTTTATAATCGAATGGAAATATGTTACAGACATGTGATGGGTAAAACAAATGCACACACGCTTACATAAAAACGGTCAAGATTGGTAAGCGAATAAGTGAGAGGGTAAAAATGTGGCTTGAGAAGAATGAATAGATTGATCTCTTCAGAGGCTAGAATAACCTATGTAGACTTGACGTAGTACCAGCATCTACAAAATCTTCCTTTTAATTGCTTATGTTACCTAGGCTAACCGCATTTGTGTCACATCGGTAATAAGAAGCCAAATACAGGTTGCGTTGGTGAAATTCATTCCAAGTATTTGTTTATCCGGACAGATATTCAGAATAAAAGGCAGGGGGGGCAAGAGATCCAACTGGATTTTATTGAGCGTGACTCTATATTTATAGTCAGATAAAATTAAGTTAAAGATATTTGACGAGTAGGATATGCAATGCACACACATACGCTCATATCAAAACAGCGAATAATTAACAAGGCCAAAATGTGGCTTGAGAAGAATGAAGAAACTAGTCTGTCCGAAAGCTAAAATAACCAATGTGGGCTTGACATAGCACTAGACACTACACCATAATAGTAAGTAAACGTATTTTCCGAAATGCAATTATCGAGTTTAAGTTATTTAAGTCTAGGTGGAAACGGACTAATGCAGAGACTAAATAAATCTACAATAACAACAGATTCAGGTTAAGTGGCTAATAGAAAAGAGATTTATAGGACGAATTGTAAAAAAACATCAACAGAACCAGTCAATTTGCAATGCTTTTATGTTTGAGTGAGTTTTAAAATCACGAGCATTTCACTGATCATGCTCACTCATATGAAAATTTACGGCATATTTTACCTATTGTTTAGCAATTATCAATGATCCTTATGGGTTTCAATCGGTATATTATTAAAAAAACACGGATGTAGTTAACAGAATGTGCTTTCAGTTATTCAAGTTCATTCTTATACAGAAATATCACTGTCTAACATAACATAACTCACCTGAGTGGCAATACCAGCGTGGTCACATCCAGGAACCCACAATGTAACTTTTCCATTCATTCTGTGCCATCGTGTAATGGCATCTTCAATGCTGTTTGTCAAAGCGTGGCCCAAATGCAAGACTCCAGTGACGTTTGGGGGAGGTATAACCATAACGAATTTGTCTTGGCTTTCAATCTTAAGATTAATAACGAAAAGCGGACGTTTTATTGAAATTAAACTGTATCCTTATGTTACTGTAGAGGTAGCGAAATGTACTAAATCAATCTACATTTGTTCACTCAAAACATTAATCACAATTGCAAAACAATGACTTATGTAGCGAATATGACCGCGAGATATGAAACGGAACTGTTTTTCTAGATGTATTTGTGCACACTATGTACAGATTCGTGTATCATACGAAATTAAATTTACTGTGAAATAGTTATCCACTTTACCCACAAGTTTTGACTTGACAGCGCAGTTCCAGTTTTGACGATTACAGTAACTCTAATTCTTCAGTGATTTCAGTATATCACAAGTCCGTGGTTAGGACGGTTTGCCTTTTTCTTAATACTTAATAACGAGTAGATTCATTATTGTGAGGATTTAATAATCTGAAGTGATCAGAGAAAAGTAAAACATGTGGTGAAACATCCAGAAATGTTGGATGCAATCACAGTAAGACGACTAATAATCAACAGAACTTGTTGGTGTAGATTTTAATTCCTACAAACGCTTGTAAACTACCATAGGATAATGGATTGTGTGACTAACTCGACAGTGTTGATTTATTTAAGGCGACCATGAGCTTGTGACATAGTACGAAAAAAGTCTTCGGAGCTTTGCAAAATGACCCAATATATCCAACTTCTTTATCACGAACTTGAATAAACCGATTGATTTCCTTGTGCTCGCCTCTTGTTGTTTCACTACGGTTCCAGGTTTTGATAATATTCAATGGGTGGCGGTCTAGCAACTCCAGTGCACTAGTCCTAGCCCGATCGAAGCTGCTACCTTGACGCGGTGGTCGGGCTTGCCTATCGTGATGACCCAACCGAGCTATATTGGCTGGAACATATGTTCCTGTAGGTTCTACCATGCCAGGCAGGTCGATTGGTGAACGGTAAGACTAAAAGCAGCAACTCAAGGTCTGAGGGCGAAGTCGTACTGCTGACTGTAGAGGGGTGTGACAGCAGTAAGGTGTTTCCTTCGGACAACCAGCATGACAGCGATGCTGCCTTCCCACAAGGAGGGGTGGGGTTAGAAAAGGTCGACCCTAAAAATGTCACACCTCACCTTACCTCACGGATTTCCGTCTCCGGCGGTAAGGCCCTTTGAAGAACGGAGCTAACACGTCAAAAACCTTCCACAAAAAGGCCGTGCGCGACCGGCCTCAAGCAGTTGTCCCTTGGGCTCTGCGGTCACGCTCCCAGGTCGTCAAGACCAACACTAATCCAATTTCCTTTTCAGGTTCCTCAAGAAATACCCTTCCACGGTGTGGGCAGCCGGGAAGTGACATCAGCCCTCATACCCGTAACAGCACAAGAGACCAAGGTGGTCACATTCAAATCCTTCCTACACCTCCTAATACCTCTCTTATCTCCATGACTAACCCTCCTCACGTCTCTTTATCACCTCGCACCGCTAGGGCAAACGATTCGAGTACGTGGAACGCCATTCCTGGTCTCCTGAAACCACGCTCTAAACTACACGTAGGAGCTTTTAACGTACGAACACTTTGCCAAATAGGACAGCAGGCTTCCTTAGCTAAAACTTTAGAATCTCGCGCCATCGATGTGTGCTGCGTCTCCGAAACGCGCATACAGGATCCAAGTAGCGTCATTCATTTGACCTCACCATGCCAAAATAAAGAACCGACTCGATTTACGCTTCGTGTATCTGGAAGCCCTGATTCTGCTTCCCGTGGCCTCGCCGGCGTAGGTATAGCATTGAGTCCTAGGGCAGAACTAGCTCTCTTAGAGTGGATCCCAGTAGACAGTCGTTTGTGCGCTGTCCGACTGAACGGAACAGTAAGAATCCGGAAAGATAGGGACACTCGTCGTTGCCTCTTCGTCGTCTCTGCCTATTCTCCCACTGACTGCAGCTCAGATGATGTAAAAGATGAGTTTTACAGAAAGCTTTCGGACCTTCTCCGAAAAGCTAGGCGCTCGGATGTAGTAATAGTGGCCGGTGACTTTAATGCTCAAGTAGGTAAACTAAGCGATAGGGAAAGACACCTAGGTGGATCTTATGGTGTCGTGGCTCAAAGAACAGATAATGGCGACCGTCTGTTGCAGCTATGCTCAGATAACCGCCTGTTCCTTGCAAATACTAACTTTAAGCATAAGGAAAAACATCTTTTAACATGGCGACCCCCGAATTCGTCCCAACGTTGGACCCAAATAGATCACATCGCTATCAGCCACCGATGGAGGGGCTCGATAGAAGACTGTCGCTCATTCTGGAGCACATGCCTAGATTCAGATCATGCTCTAGTGCGAGCGCGTATTTGCTTGCGTCTTACTGGACGTAGGAAAGACGCTGCAAGGAAACCTCTTAGGGCCTACTTAATGATAGTCAAGCTAAGAGTATATTTCAGGAACAACTAGGAAAACAGTTAGGCAGCCATGTATGTGATGCCCACCCCGATGCAGCATGGAATGATATCCGAAAAGCTGTGGAAACAGCAGTGATATCTGCTAGTAAGGTAAACCAGAAGGTTAGGGAGCAACACTGGATCTCAGCAGCATCTATCGCACTGATAGATGCTCGGAAACTCATTCCACCTGGCTCTGAACATAATGAAGAGCGGAGTCAGCTTAAGCGCAAGCTGACAAGAAGTCTACGCAATGATCGCGAACAGTGGTGGGTAGCGAAAGCAAGAGAGATGGAAAAGGCAGCGGCAATAGGTAATAGCAGACAATTGTTCAGACTCGTTAAGGAAACCGGAATTAGGAACCCGACCGTTAGCGAAACAATCTCAGAGAAAGATGGACATATTATTCATTCTTTATCCAGGAGATTGGATCGATGGGCAGAACACTTTAGGGATCAGTTCAACTGGCCTTCAGCCACACTTCGGTTTCCCACGATCTCTAGTCAACCTGAATGGCAAGTTAATGTAGGTCCTCCGTCCCTTTACGAAGTTGAAAAAGCCATAGGAAATCTGAAACGAGGGAGAGCAGCAGGCCCTGACAGGTTTACTCCTGAGATTTTTAAGGATGGTGGTCCAGTATTAGCAATGAGATTAACTGAGGTCTTAGGTAGAATTTGGGAACTGGACGTAATCCCATCTGACTGGTCTCAATCACTGATTGTGCCAGTCTATAAGAAAGGACAAAAGTCCTCTTGTGACAATCACAGAGGAATCAGTTTGACTAATATAGTGTCTAAAATATTAGCTTCAATAATACTTCGACGCCTAATCAAAGCTCGTGAAGAGCAGATTAGAGAAAACCAGGCCGTTTTCGACCTGGACGTGGTTGTATAGATCAGATATTCACACTACGTCAGGTTCTAGAACACAGACACACATTCAGACGCCCCACAATGGTAGTATTTCTCGACCTTAAGGCGGCATTCGACTCTGTTGATCGTGAGGTTCTATGGCAGTGTTTGTCACTGAAAGGAGTACCAAAGAAGTACATTAACCTTATAAAGGCTCTCTACTCGAACACAACTGGTAGAGTGAGAGCTTATGGCGAACTGTCATCAGAATTGATTACCTCAAGTGGTGTTCGTCAGGGCTGTCCACTCTCCCCATTCTTGTTCAACTTTGTGGTCGACGTACTTTTAGAGATAACACTCTCCTCATCTAAATTTCCAGGGGTTGAACTTCTACCGGGAGGTTCACTTGTTGACTTAGAATATGCTGATGACATAGTTTTATTTGGTGAAGACGCTGACAAAATGCAGAGTCTTCTGACCACTCTAAGCAACAATGCAAGCATGTTCGGGATGCGATTCTCTCCCTCGAAATGCAAAATGTTGCTTCAGGATTGGGTTACATCGACACCCGAACTAGTGATAGGGAGTGAAGTAGTTGAGTGTGTCGACCGCTTCACTTATCTTGGAAGTCTCATCAGCCCTTGTGGTTTGGTGTGTGACGAAATCTCAGCACGGATACAGAAGGCTCGACTAGCTTTTGCCAACTTGCGTCATTTATGGCGTAGGCGAGATATCCGTCTATCAACCAAAGGACGGGTTTACTGCGCAGCAGTTCGTTCCGTCCTACTTTATGGCAGTGAAACATGGCCGGTAAGAGTAGAGGATATTCGTAGGTTACTAGTATTTGATCATAGGTGTCTTCGAAATATTGCTCGTATATCATGGGACCATCGAGTAAGTAACACAGTTGTTAGGAAACGGGTACTAGGTAAGGATGGCAAATCAATTGATGACGTAGTGAAACTTCATCAGTTGAGATGGCTGGGACACGTGTTACGTATGCCCAACGACCGACTGCCTCGACGTGCTATGTTCAGTGGTATAGGAGTAGGTTGGAAGAAAGCTAGGGGCGGCCAAACCAAAACATGGCACAAGTCCATGAAGTCACTGACAAGTGAACTGAGTCATGTTGGTAGGTGTAGACTACCTGGTTGGGGACCGCGAGATGATAGCAACCGATGGTTAGAGACCCTGAATGACATGGCTCAAAATCGTTTGCAATGGCGCAGGTGCATCCACTCTCTGTGTTCTCCCAAATTCTAATCTTCTGAATCCTTCATGTCCCTTTTTTCCTCTTTCCAAATTTATTTCACTGGATTATACTCTTTAAATAACATCTCCAAACCCTAATCTTCCCGATTACTGCTTATACTCTTGCTACCTCTACCACTACGGGATTTGAATCGACAACTGCATCTCTGTGCTAATGTGGTGTGGCAACTCGAACTGATGTACGTACGTACGAAGTTCTACGTTGTTACTGACTGACTGAGTGACTAGTCCTAGGCAGGGTGGAAGTTATCTGTGGGTTTGCATATCTTTTAGTTTGAGTGCATTTGTTTCAGGGCAGTAGGGATTCTGGATACCGGTAGCTACCACACAGGATGTTGGTCGGTTGCAGTGTGAAAAATAATGTGGTAATTTAAGTGCTAAAAGAAGATGACCGTTTCAAGAATAAATAAGTAAATTAATTGGTAATAGGTAAGAAGATGGAATTGAAAGAATAAGAGTGGGAACAGAGATGATAACAATAATATGATGTAATTGCTGATATATCGTAGTGACAACCGTGGTAATTTATGAGACATGCATCAGGCTCAGCTAATCCAAGAGGGAGATTTTAAAACATGGGTGAATACGTATCTGTCAATCCTCCTGTTAAAGCTATCCAGAGGGGCCTGTGGTCATCGGCTGAGGGGGTTTTTCAAATAGAGGCAGCTTTTAATGAATGCGGGAGTGTACTTTGGTGTTTGCCTTTTGATGTACAATCTTTTTGATCGCTCCTAATTTACACTCTAGTCCTTTTACGTTGCTGTAGAGGCACTTGATAGTTCGTCTCGTCACCTGGTGCTCCTCTACAGCAGCACCCAACCAGATCCTAAGCAGATTGATGTAACTTTCAAAAAGATTAAGAGCCCAACCATATAACTGTGAAATTAAAAGCCTAACAACCAGTGAAGCGAAGCAACGCGATTCGGTAGCATTTATGAAGTTTTCATTACGCTAACAAGAAAGGCTAGAACTATAATCTACTTTCTGATTACAAAATGATAAAAATGAAAAAGTTTGTAAATGCACGAATTTAGAAGTTAATAACCACGATTACCTGAAATTCTGGTTTGAAAAGTCCACTACGCTCCCACCATTCGTACCACGTGGCCTCAACATATTTGGGGGAGTAGGATTCGGGCATTTCACCAGTCATATCTTCAAAAAGCAACAATAAAAAGGACACACGAACCTTTTTTGCCAGATGCGTCTGTCACTGCATTCAGAACAACTTGCTCTTTCTTCAATTTGTCTTTTTTTGACGACTTCTGATTCTGAAAATTCGAGAAAAACGGACAAGATGTACCTTTGAGGCATCTGAAGAACGTTTTTCTTGTTTGGCTTCAAATTTAGCCATCTTCTTTTCACGTTTAGCCAGCTTCTTAGACTGGCACTTTGAGAGTACAGACTCATCCATAACGTGAAGGTTCTGAAATCTTGGCAAGGAGTGACCCTGAACGTGACCTACAAAATGGTTCAAATGGTTGTGGACGGAATAGAAGAAGCTTTCGCTTAACAGGCTTCGTAACACCTATTATCCAATATTTCTGTGATCAGCTAGCGTAAACTCGTTGGTTACTTTGAAGATACTTCGTGAGTGTAAATGTATCTTCTCAAGCCATTGCATGAACCCAGTTTTGGTAGTCTAGCCACTAAACTATATTTGTGATCGTGGAATATGCATTTTTTTAAGAGATACAATATCCAGTTTCTCTGTAACCATTTGATGTAAACCAAGTGATTTTTCGCGTAAGCTTCCTATTGCCTCATCACAGCAATTGGACTTTGATAGAACTCAATTGGGATAGTCGATTGTATCAGCCCTGACGTATTTTAGCATCATATTACATGTTATACCACTGATGTTTCTTTATTCGCACGTTTTATGTTCGTTCGTGCGCAACGGAACTATTTAGAAATAGTCCATTTTTTTCTTGTATCGGTAACTTTCACCAAAAGTTTTTAAATTGATTTGCCGGCGTGCTATCAAAATAAACTTCGTATTTCACAATATCATCTTCCTTAACTGTATAATTTGTGCAGCATCAGTGAAATATCACAGAATTCCACTCAAATCATCTACCAAGACGGTCACTGGATGTTGAACAGTCTTCTGAGCCTCATTGAAGTCAAGGACAACCAACGTGCATAAAAAATCTTTCTCCGTAGCCGGAACCGTGCGGTTATGGCCACGCACCTTTTCGCTGAACTATTCTAATTGAAAACATTACTTCAGTAACACCATGTTTGTCTTTATGGACAGCATATTGGCTGCAGTACATAGATATAACAAAGTGGTGATTCACTCCAGATATAAACTGTGACGTGTTAGTTATACCTAAGCTAAAATGTCAAACTATTCCCATTCAACTGGAGTAGATCTCAGTCATCGACACAGATCACTTAAATTACTGATCTCCGTACATACTGGGCTTAAACTCAAATATTACTTGTGAATTAAAAAGTCTATACAGCCCAAAAAGAAAGGAATGAAATCATAAAACCCTTCCTCAGAGATCCCCTGGTAAACAGTAATCTTAATGGATTCGAGCTTTTGCAAACTTGTATATCAGGAACGTTAAATAGAATGTTTGTCATAGATCAGTGAGGTTTCGTTAGCTGCAATGCAAAAATTAAACAAATTTTAATGCAGAAGAGAGAAAGAATACGGTGTTAAGAATAAAATAAATCAGTTAAACAAGTATGTAAAATGAACTCGAATCTATTAACTAACAGAAGAACTGACATATCAAGTAGCTCAAGAGGTAGAAATAGGCTGATTGTAAATCATAACAGAAATATGCAAGAAGTCACACATATTTCAATCACAGAGGTATTTTTAAAGCGACAGTATTTAAAAGGAAACGTTCAAATTCTCTCTTCCGAGACGCCAGTAACTAATTGACTACTTAGTGTCGGTTTTTTGTTTTGGACAACGCGTCTCTTGATAGAGGGTTTTAATAGTCCAAATTGTACACATAGTAGAAAATGCTTTCAACTAACCAGTCTCTAATATACCTTGTTGTTTGGATTTCTTGAAAATCTCATTAGTAGATAGTGGACCATTAAGATAATCAGCATCTATCGAAATTTTATTGGGTTCTGGATCATGGTTTGATACATCTGATATATTTTTCTCATCTGACCAAGAACATGTGAGTCATTAAATAACAACTAGAACGATGAGCTTCATTTGATTTAACTGTTTTCATTATGCTGCTTGATTTATTTTATGTTTCTTCGTGAGCGGGTACTGCAACAGTTTCATGTGCATTTAACAAGACATTATCGCTCTGTGAGCTGGACAAGTCAGTGTTTGTAACATTGTGTTTTGGAGACCATGGGATTTGAACCCACGACAAGTCGTGTTTCTGAAATGAACGACCACTGAGCGGATCATGAATGACTGCTACGGTTTTGCTTACAATACTGCTTATCAAGGGTTCATAGAAACTTTCATCGACACATTCATACATTCTGCAATCATTTTCCAACTCTGTACGCCATTTAGAAATTAGTTCATTAAATCCCGTCAAATCTCCAAAGCATGGATAATTCAGAAGCCCTGTGTGTAATTGGTCTATAAATTCCAACTGATTCTTTTTAAAGCGCTGCTGCTGTTGCTGAATTAGCAACTGTAATTGATTGGAAGGGAGAGCCATTTTCTGCTTCTGTATGAATCAGCACGGTAATAGAAAATAAGGTATGACAAATTAACAATCAATGTCGTTCAAAGACACCGACGACAATCCTGTATGCTGATTGTCCTGACTATTTTTTTACTCCGTCGCCACTGATCTGTCTTGTTGGTTGAATGGTACTTTTTATATCTGGTCGTCGCTGATTGTTGTGTCGGAAGCGGTTATCACTTATGCTTGAAAGGAGAAACTTCCGCGATTCCCACAATGCAAAAGTAAGAGCACAAAGACTGGTATAAGTGAAGATTTATTAACCCCAAAACACGACGACGAAGACCTCAGTTAAAAAAACACTTATTTATACATTGATTGTTCACACACTCTGATTAATACTTAGGATGAATTCATATATATAACAAATCATATACTGAGCATAATTCATGTCAACTTAATAAAAGAATATCGTATATTATACAGAATAAAATATCATAAGAGAAAACAAAACAACTACTGCATTGAATAATCACCACATTGAATCAAAACGGAAGTAATGTTGAACAAAACGTATAATGAGTAAATCAATCAAATTTTAACTTTCTTCTCATCAAACCAGGTTCCTGATTTGTCGCTTTAAGGAATCAGATGCGTGAAACAGTCAGAGATAAAAGAAGTATTGATAACTTAGTGTGAGGTGCTCTTCTGACTTGTCATGATCACATCAAATTCATTTTAAGACCTTCGATGCTGGTAATCACCCATCTTTTATGTCTGGAAGAAACCTGAGTTACATTGTTATTCATACTGGGAAATACAACAATTGGTGCTCAAAGTTTCGATTGTAAACACAAAACTTCCAACATACTCTATAGCGTAACAGGAAACATAATGCCTACACAAGACAGGGGGCAAATAAATACTTAAGCGTTCACATTATCGTGCAGTTTTCAGCTAACTCTTAATCACCCAACTTATCACAGACTCTATGTTGGTTGCTTGAGATACCTTGGCGAATAAGTCTTTTACGACTTCGCTACTAGTAAAGGTATGTCAGATATTTAAAAAACCCACTAAATAAACTTTTTCTGTGACTATTCTTTTGCTTCGCTTTATACGTAACGACTCTCCTATTGTCGTCTGTATTCACGTATATTTCGTTTACTTATTGACTTATTCACAATTATTAGTTTTACATCATATAGAATTTCTGAATTGTTGTCAACATTTTGATATCATTGGAAATCTTGATTGCTTTTTTATGTTGGTTTCACTTAAGATTTCAATTTCTGGAGGCTCCCATTTTGGGAGATCGTGTTCTTGATTGATCCTGTTTATACTAAAGCAGGAACAATAAATGTAACAGAATAACGTGAATTCATTACATTCCGCGGTTGCTCATTAGCTGTTTACAGCTCAAACATAATAGTGTTAATCTCTAAATATCAGTATACATACATAATGTCGGAAAAGTTCCGTTCAGTGAAAATTGATGAACAGAGCAATATGTATGCAGGAACGATTACCGATTTTAATGTTTTCAATAATGTTATCATTTAGAGATTGAACACAAGAACATTCGAAACCGAACAACTAAGAGCATGGAGACAGAACTACTTAGAAATAACAAAATAGTGTTATAATCGGATAACTATTAAAACAGAATTAATTAACTGAGTACAGATCAGTTAAGAAATTAGAATCAATAATGCAAGTGCTAAGCCCCTCTGTTCTTCCTGTGTTTTTGTTTTAGTATGTACACGTAAACCGGTAGATACAGAGACTGGAAGTTAACAGTTTAAAGCACTAGAAAATAGTGGTTCATTGTCCTAAACTGTACATTTTTCAATACATTTGTTATGACCTTGGATGTCTGACCTTTCTATCACACGACTTATCTACCAATCCGAATACGACTTATACAAATCTTCACACTAGGCCAACCAATGACGTTCAACCGGTGTGGGCAGTTTAGCGTCCTTATTGGTCCTATGTCCTACGAGCCCTTCCACTTGAGTACAGAACACAATACCAGCGTCCCAATCAGAGCAGATAATTTATTTCAGACATACTTGGTCTATGTATCAATCAGACAAACCGCAAAGTACCATAAAATAGGAAATAATACTTGTACACAAATAAGCCAAAAAGTGGCTGTGAATGTGGGAGGCAGTAGTTAATAAACTGAACATAACATAAGAACCGTAAATCGTACAATAATGACTTATAGGTCAAAATAAAGCTTGTAATAAGAGGAATATAAATATGCATAATGTAATTGTTGAATAGTTATACAATAAGAATATTTATAGAATATTAGTCCATTAATAGTCCTTGGAAGTTACCTGTAATTTAATCTTCACTAGGATATAACAACATTTGCTTATTCAGAGCTGACAGAACTTCATACCTTACTTTTAGTTATATGTAGAATACCTAGAATGGTCGAAAATTCCAGTCCAAGAAAGACTTGGCTGAGGTACTGTCATGAAAATTCAAAGCGTACCCTTGCTCTTTAAGAACAATATATTTCTGTAGTAGATTCCTCGCAGTTCCCAATTTTGTGGTGTGTTAAATAATCTGTCCCTGTTAGTTGCTTTTTATCCGATTTATCCGATTTTGTATTTGTTGTTGAAGTGCACATAAAAAATTCCGGTTTTGGACCGCCTGGAAGAGTGAGTAAAATAATGCCTGACTCTATACGAATAATGTGTTGTACTGAACGCACCTTTACATTTGAAGACTGAACGCTGCATATTGAAGTGTTTGTCTCATCTTATCAATG